GTAACGCGAAGTGGAAAGGAGCTCTTGAAGGGCGGTATCGAGCTCAATGATTCGGTAATTTTGTCTCTCCATTTCTTGATTTTGTGTTCGTTTTTCACTCTAATTATGGTTTTTTTTAGCTTATTCATATGAATTAATGTTACGAGTGATGGAATTTTGGCATGATTTTGTGTTTGGTTTAGTAATTTTGGGTTTCTGGGTTTGTTTTGCTTTGCAGGCGACTGTTTCTGATCTACAGGAAGCAATTCACAAGAGAAGTACGTATTTTTACTACTTACAGCCATTGTTTGCTAATTAATTATACGGTTTCATGGTTTTGGCTAATTTTGGATGGTGAGACCTGAAACTAAGCATGTACTAAACATTTACACCGTAGAAAGAGTTTAGGAAATGAAAGTATTAGCCTATGTAAATATGATGAAGCTATTAAATACATGTATTTAATATGATGATGTATTTAATAGCTTCATGTATTACATAGGCTAATACTCCGTAGAAAGCTAGATGTGACTTATGTGAGTTTTGTAGTGGTTTAAGGTAATTAAGGTAGTACCCGTGTTAGATCGTCAACGCCACGACATAAGTGGGACAGTTTGACATTTCATTATGAGCCAAAATCATGAAAACAAAATAGTCAAGTTTTGCACTTTGACACAAGTGATTAGAACTCTAGTAGTCTAGTACCCAAATTTGACTAACATAGGTTTATAATTTTGTTACATTGCTGACATCCCAAAGGAAAAGTGCTTTATAATTCATTTACACCATGGCTAAGTAGGTAGTTATGCTAGAAAGAAGGGGGGAAAATGATCTTTATAACTTTGTCTAATCTTTTCTCTTCAAATTGAAGAATAATCCATTGATTATATGAAGTTGAGTTCCCTTCTTTGTTTCCTTCCTTGACTGTAGCGTCTCTACTCACTAAACAATATTTACAAGATGATATGAGTATGTATGATGTAACTGTCTGGCCTATTAATGAGGTGAATTTGAATGAATGATCCTATAGAGGACAGATGTGGCTTAAAATGTTGAGATGACTGTTAATGGATTGCAAGTGCGAGACATTTTTAGTCATGGAAGGAGGAGTATGTTAAACTCTTAATTTGGGAAGTAGTTCTATATTTCATCACCTTCCAGAGTCATATCACTTAGGACTTTGGATTGAAACTGTGAAAACAAGCTTTTAATATGAGCTATGGTATTAGTTTTGAACTATGTCTGATGTAGAAATTATCTTATTGGCATAGGTAGAGTTTTTTCAGGGACATTGTTTAGGATGTCTCTTATTCCTTGTCCCTGCCTTTCTCATTCAAGGGTAGCAATTAGCATTTTGGCTATAGTAGTCTGCGGATTTTCTTTGCTAACACTGGGATGACTTGCAGTAGGTAGTGGCATTGCTGAGTGTCTTTTTTTTTTTTTTTTTTTCCCCCATCTTAAGTTAGAGATAGTGGAAGAGCATGAAAATGTTTTCAATTGATTAATTTAATAAATTATTTATCAACATATCATTTCCATTGTTGGTTTTCTTTGGCTCTGCTGCCTCCTGATTTCCTGAATATCTGATTTGCCTTGTAGCCAAGAAATATTATCCTTCCCGACAACGACTAACTCTTCCTGTCCAATCGGGATCAAAGGAAAGACCAACTGTCCTAAGCAGCAAGAAGAGCCTCAAAGAGTATTCTGATGGTAATTCAAACACCATAACTGTGGTGTTCAAGGACCTGGGACCCCAGGTTTCTTATCGTACTCTTTTCTTTTTTGAGTACTTGGGTCCTTTGGTAATCTACCCCATTTTTCACTACCTCCCTGTCTATCGGTACTTTGGCTACAAAGAGGAACGTGTCATACACCCAGTGCAGACATATGCTTGCTATTACTGGTGTTTTCACTATTTCAAACGTATCATGGAAACATTTTTTGTGCATCGCTTCAGCCATGCAACTTCTCCTCTGTCCAATGTGTTCCGCAATTGCTTGTACTACTGGACCTTTGGAGCTTTCATTGCATACTACGTGAATCACCCACTCTACACCCCTGTTAGTGACCTGCAATGGAAAATTGGATTTGGATTTGGGTTGCTCTGCCAGCTTTCAAACTTCTACTGCCATATCTTGTTGAAGAATCTGCGGAGGCCTGATGGAAATGGAGGTTACCAGATACCTCGTGGGTTTTTGTTCAATATTGTGACTTGTGCCAATTACACCACAGAGATTTATCAGTGGGTAGGCTTCAATATTGCAACCCAAACTGTGGCAGGTTATGTCTTTGCCGTGGTTGCTGCCGGAATTATGACTAACTGGGCACTTGCAAAGCATCGACGTCTCAAGAAGGTAATTCTTCCATTAACTTGAATGAATAAATCCCTTTTTAAGTGCTGGAGATTGATAGGAATTACTATATATTGCAAGTAGCTTTTGTTCCACTGAACTGACTACAACAAAACATGTGGACGTGCACACACATACACACACTCACACTAGAAGAGAGAAGAATAAAAAAGGGTGGTTGGGGGGGGGGTGGGGAATTGAACTTTCTAGAGTATGTTAGGAGGCATTTTTAGTGTAGTAGCACATCTACACTCAAGCTCTTCCTTTAGGGGCAGGATTGACGAGGCAGAGACCCACATGCACATTTCTTTATGCTGTGGAACTAAACTTCTAATGACAAGGATTCCACCAGAATGATGTCCCTTTGGGTCTTTTTTTTTTTAAAAAAAAAAAAGAGAAGGGGGGGGGGGCGTGGGGTGTTTGAACTTAAACTCCTTTAGTATATACATATACTTCTTATATAGCAACTGGTAAATTAAGAATTTTGTTCATTGTTAATTTAACACATAAAAGATGACTTTGTAGCACATAAACTCATACAGTCATTGCTGTTGTGATTGATCACAAAAACAATCATTGTAGAGAAAGTCACTTAAGCCTTTAATCTTGGATGGATCACGAGGAAGCACAAGTAGATATGGGGCCTTCTATAGACTAGCCACTGGGCTCACCAACTACCTTGTCTCTCAAATTTCTCATTTAAAATTATATATACGAAGTACATTTTACCGTTTAGATTACCATTTAGCAAAAAATAATGGTTTATAGGGGCAAAATGGCTTATTTGACCATTGTATTCTCAATTTTTAAGAACCTCCCTTGTAACCGTGAAGACAAAGGCAAAGTCTGAGAAGCAGTATTCTCTTTAAAATACTTCTGTGTATCTTCAGCATTATACCAGTTTTCAGGCTTCTCGTTATTACAATTAAATTATGAGTTTGTTTCTCTCTGTTGTTTCCGCAGTTGTTTGATGGAAAGGATGGAAAACCCAAGTACCCACGCAGATGGGTGATATTGCCTCCATTCCTGTAGAAAAGAGCTGCAGTAAATTTCCTGAATCAACACTGTCTCCATCGTTTTGTCCCTGTTTCAGCTAGCCCAATAATTCAAGCTACATCTTGCTATAAGTTATTCAAGCTTCATGTTCAAGCTGCCCGATTAATCATGTTCTTGTTGCTGCAAACTTCAGTGTAGTAATCAATCCTGTCACATCTCTAGATCATTTAAGCAAACATTTATCCCTATTTTTGTATTTCCATAAGTTTTACTTTGTTTCCCGTCTTTCAGGATGATGAAATAGTATTCGAAACCAATTATATTAATACCTTATTTTTCAATGCTTAAACATATCTTAATTTTAAACCTTTCTGTCAATCAATTCAGTGATATTTTGCAACTTTTTTCTTATCTTTACAATGAGAAATAATGTTGGTCTTAAAGTTGGATCTGCCTTTTTTTCCTGCTTTAGAATTGTATAATATGAACGTGCAATATGCACATACTATTGTTAGCCTGTAAGGTCTGTAGGCATCTCCAGCTAAGAAGAATGTAGAACTTTATAATTGTAATGATTTCATGCATACTGTTATTGTTACATTTTTTTTGTAACTTGCTATTAAAATTATATATTTACATAATTTTCCAGCCAAACTTTATATAATAATGGATCGCACTAATGTCTCACATCAGGAATCTATTTGTCATGGACATGAAATCTGTTAGAATCTTTTATCTTAGTATATACAGTTTTGCTCAATATAGGTTTTGTGTAATGTTCAAGTCTACATTTTTTAAGCATATCCTAACATTCTTTTCTAGATTTTTACTTACAACTTATAAGATGTTTTAATTTAACTTTTTCCTCTTTATGACTTTTTTTTTTTTTTTTTATTATTATACAATTTACTCTTTATAACTTAGCTAGGCCTCTATTGATTTCCATCCCTCTTCACATGAGAATCCCAAAAGTTGATACTCTTGTAAATTGTAATCAACAATTCATGTTAATCAATGATTCAATGTAAGCTAATCATGTCAAATGCATAACATAACATAACATCTGTTCTCTGTTTGGCATCCATCAACCCATTACTCTCATTTTTGTAAAGTAATAAGACAGTAGCTATCATCAAATGTATTTTGCACCATAATTTTTTTTTTTGTTTTCAGAAGTTTTTGTGAGTTATGATTTGAGAACATAACAATCAATAAAAACTGACTAATTACAAAAATTTGACAACAAAAGTCAAATGTGACTTATTAATTGTAAACAAACAGAATAAGCAACAACCTCAATCAACATTATTATACGTTATATTAACAACCTCAAAATTTGTATCAACATATTATGGACTCATGGTATTAATCCTTTTAATTAAAAAAATTATAAAAAATCAAAAAGTAATCCTAATGCTAAAGAAATAATTTTGAAAAAAGAGGAGGGGGAAGGAGGAGAAAGCAAAGAAGTGGGGGCCAAAAGGGTAATTTACAGCAAGAGATTGACTGGAAAATCGCGGGACCACTCACATACACAGTCAGTATCACCACCTTCCATCCTTGCTGACGTGTCATTAAATCCGAAGATCCAGGCTGTACAAACGGACGGCGGAGATGTGACAACGACCTTCTTAAAATATATTCCTCTGCAATACCCCCATTTCTTCTCATTTTCCCTCCTCTCTCTCTCTCTCTCTTTCATTCATCTTCGACATATTCTCTCTCCTCCACTTTCTCTCTCTTCAAGGTATCATCGTTTTCTCTCTCTTAATCTTTGTTCTTCCATTTTTATTCATATGTTTGGTCTTTTAATCTTTGATCATCGACATTTGCTTTTTTGTTGCGCGTTTTTTGGTGCAATTTATGATAATTTTGAGGTGAATTTTTGCAATTCAAGGTTTGATTAATTGATCAGCATTTTAGAGAATTTGTTTTTTGTTTTTTTTTTTTAATTTTTATTTTGGATTCAATTTGATAATCGGCATTGTTGTCAATTCGCAATTTTCGATTTGATTTGATTTTTTTTTTTCGCTGCGAATTTTCCATTTCATCATAATGTCAGCTGATTCTTTCGTAATTTTTTTGATCATTTTGATGATATTGATGTTAAAATTTGTTAACATGTATGGTTTTATATGGACATTATCAGAAGATCAATTTGAAAGAGTTCAGTTAATCAGTGTAGATTTCTATGATCTGAGACTAGTTTGTAATCATCAATTTGTAAGCATTTAATTTGATAAATCTGCAAAATGAATGGATGCGTGATATATAATAAGGATCATCAGATAATTTTGATTTCTATCTTATGATTTTAATGTGGTAGCTTTTGTTCATCGTTGTCTTTCATTAATTGTACTCCGTATCATGCTTTGAGTTTCGACTTTTGCTCTATGCAAATAGGACTTCATTTGTATAACATTCACAAGTGAATCCTGAGAGATGGTAGAATTTAGCTTGTGATGTGTGAGGTACTTCAGAATCCCAAGAATTCTTAGGATAATTTGTTTTAAAGATTCACTTACAGTAGGAGGATTGATTGTATACATTGTAAAAGATAAACAATTGGAGTGAGGATGTGGTAAGACAGTGATGTATGTTATGTGCGACTGACACTGCAAGATTAAAATGCAAGTTGCCTAAGATGTAGATGTCTGCAGCATATTCTTTATATTGTGTTTTTTTAGGAATTTCTGTAACAGCTTGTAATCCATTTTCCTCTCTAAAATTTTGATGAATTATACTCTGTAATATTTTTAAACATCGCCAGGGTACAACACAATTGGAGTAAGAAATAAACTCGTACATTTAATCAATTTCTTAGGAAGTTATGAGTTGGAATGGCACATCTAAGTTGATTATAGAACAGATAGAGAGCCTGAACATGTAAAAATGATCCTTTTTAGATTTAACTATTTAAGAAAGTGATTGAAAGATATCAACCTAAAAAGACTGGAGAGGATTTGATGGCCCTTAAAAGTCTCAAGTAGGATGCAAAATTTGGTGATCTTCTGTGCTTTCCTGTTAAAGGGCTTATTTTTAAGCACTTAATTTAATGCTTTGTTTATGAATGTGTTGGCCCTCTCAGTCCAGAGATAAAATCAAGTTGCCATTTAGTTAACATGACCACTCGTTAGCTACAGTAACTGCAGCATTATCAATTATAATCTGTAGCTGATTTTGGTTTTATTTCAGCATACTATAAAAGATGGCCGACGGTGAGGACATTCAACCACTTGTCTGTGACAATGGAACTGGGATGGTTAAGGTATTGTCCAACTCTGGCTATATTTAGCTGATGTTTTATATTGACACATTTTTTTATCAATATCTTCCCACATTTATCATAAAACGATTTTTTTTTTTTTTTTTTTTTCAGGCTGGATTTGCCGGAGATGATGCTCCTAGAGCTGTCTTCCCAAGTATTGTTGGTCGTCCCCGTCACACTGGTGTCATGGTTGGCATGGGTCAGAAAGATGCTTATGTTGGAGATGAAGCTCAATCCAAGCGTGGTATTCTCACTTTGAAGTACCCTATTGAGCATGGTATTGTAAGCAATTGGGATGATATGGAAAAGATATGGCATCACACTTTCTACAATGAGCTACGTGTGGCTCCAGAAGAGCACCCTGTTCTTCTGACTGAAGCACCTCTAAATCCTAAGGCTAATCGTGAAAAGATGACTCAGATAATGTTTGAGACTTTTAACACCCCTGCTATGTATGTTGCAATTCAGGCTGTTCTTTCTCTATATGCCAGTGGACGTACAACAGGTAAGCTGTCAAAGATAGCTTGGGCATTAGTTTTCATATCATTCTATGAACATCTAAATTTAGAACAAAATATGGAGCTTCAATTTTTAATAGTGTAATATTTTTAATACCTTCTGTTCAATAACGATTTCATGACCACATTCCCCTTGATTCTTCATATTCTATCTGTTCCAAAACTTTGCCTGCATGATGCTCAGAATTCTACACAGCAGAACTTCATGTGATATTCTCTGATCCATGCAGGTATTGTGCTGGATTCTGGTGATGGTGTCAGTCACACTGTCCCCATCTATGAAGGATATGCCCTCCCACATGCTATCCTTCGTCTTGACCTTGCTGGTCGTGACCTAACAGACCACTTGATGAAAATCCTCACTGAGCGTGGATATTCTTTCACCACCTCAGCTGAGCGAGAAATTGTAAGGGATATGAAGGAAAAGCTTGCCTACATTGCCCTTGACTATGAGCAGGAAATGGAGACAGCCAAGACTAGCTCTTCAGTTGAGAAAAGCTATGAACTTCCCGATGGGCAGGTCATCACTATTGGAGCTGAGCGCTTCCGTTGCCCTGAGGTTCTCTTCCAGCCATCATTCATCGGAATGGAAGCAGCGGGTATTCATGAGACTACATATAACTCTATCATGAAGTGTGATGTGGATATCAGGAAGGATCTATACGGAAACATTGTCCTCAGTGGTGGTACTACTATGTTCCCCGGTATTGCTGACAGAATGAGCAAGGAAATCACAGCCCTAGCCCCCAGCAGCATGAAGATCAAGGTAGTGGCACCTCCTGAGAGAAAATACAGTGTTTGGATCGGAGGTTCCATCTTGGCATCCCTCAGTACATTCCAGCAGGTGGGCAGCTTTGAATTTGATTGTGGACACAAAATTTCATACTTTGTTTTTACAGACATTACTATTTTTATCTATTTCCTGAATCTAATATGCTTTTTACTATATCACAGATGTGGATTGCAAAGGCCGAGTACGATGAATCTGGGCCATCAATTGTCCACAGAAAGTGCTTCTAAGCTTCTTGACGAAATGGGTGCAAATGTTACTTCAGATCGTCATCTCTTTAATGGAAGACCCTATTATAAGCTTTCAAGTACAGAAAAAACCTGCTGTTCATGCAATTTTTTGTTTATTTATATGTTGATTCTCACATATTGTAATGATGACCATGAGAAGGTGAGGAGTTGTTTAAAAATTGTTAAATTCTTTTTAAGTGAGTAATTTTTGGAAGTTCAATCAAATCCTTTGCAATTTTTTCTACACGTCTCAATATGCCTGTTCTGCCATGTTATAGCAATAATAGCACCTCTAAATGCACTCTGCTTGTTACTGTTTGATTTCAAAGTGAAACTCCACCAATGCTTCAAAATGAAAGTGAATGTAGGGAGCGTCATATAATGTTGTTTGAACCAGAACCATATAGGCCACTAGTCAGTTATTATAAAAGCTTGGGATGACCTTGAATTAATGGATAAGACGTTAATGAAGAAGACCTTAAGCTAAATTAAAAGGCACGTTAATACAAATACTATCCAAATTGGACTCCCAAGGGTCCATGGGAAGCAACTCTACCTATTTCATTTTCTGGTTCAAAAAATTCAAAAAATGTTCCAAATTAAAAGCTATAATCCACGCTTCTCGACGAATTTCAAGAATTTTTTCAAAATTTCAAAAAATGTAAAGGGTGTCCCCTAGGGTCATATAGTCCTATTTGGAACCATATATCGCCACTAGTCGGTCACATAAAATCCTATGTTGAGGAAAACAACCAAAACAAATCGCTTTGAAGGTGATGATTGTGAAGGTGCAGCCATTGTTGATATGATACAAAATGTCGAGGAAAACAATCAAAACATATCGTTATAAGTGATGCCAGCTATGTTTAGTTAAAAGTGTTAAGTGCTAAAACCCATGTTTTGATATCAAATCCCGTTTAGATCACAACTCTTTGTAGCTCTTTCCAGCAATTATATAGTGCTTAGTAGTCAGTAGAGTACTGGGTAAATGAATATTCAAAATTAAAGATGGAAAATCTCCAACTGTATATATATGAAAGGCAAAATTGGCCACATTATGAAGTGCCTCAATAAACATTAATACAAATAATTCTCATCTTCTTAGCTGTGTGAAGCTGTAGGAAAAAGAAACGAATACAAATTTCAAGTCCTGAACTTAAACTACAAGGCAAGACATACAATTTTCAACTTAGCGTATTACTCTATCCACTATAGCTACCTCTACCACGAGTTAGATGGCTATTGTTAGGTATAGTAGCAGTGTAGTACAGATCCCTCCAAAATGAATTTCACATTCAGTTTATACAATAATGAATGGCAACCATAAGGCAACCCAACTTCAGTGCTCACCTGTATAGCCCCTTTGGTTGGAATCAGTAAAACTGGATGAGAGGACAATCACTCTAAGCAACTCATGTTGTGAAAGTTTAAAAGCCGCTCTGGATGTCTTGCCGTATACCAGAAGGTTTCATCCAAGAAGGTACACCGTACACCAAATAAGCTTAGACAGTGATTCTCCACATACCTGTCCTATAACCTACAGACATGAGCACGAGCTCCCAAAGCATGTTGGGTATGCTCAACATGTTCACCTTTGATCCTGGAATCTCAGACCAAGTGACAGATATCTCAACCATTGGAATGCCAAACCACTTGCACAAGTAGACAAGCTCTACATCAAAACACCACCTGTAAAACAGGCAAACGATGAAGATGAATGATAACATTTTAAAGCACGTATAATGAAATAATTCAAAGCAGTAGTTATGGCTGGTATAGTGGTATCAATTTAAAAAGAGCATGGTTCGCAACCATTGTGCTAGCGCCTAGTATCGATAGAACATAACGTACAAAGGCCAGAAACAGAGACACCAACTCCTGGGATGAATTTTTTTCATCTCCTAGTAATTGCAACCAAACTAATCTGCAGGAAGTGAGAAATTCTTGTTTCACGGGCAAATACAAAAATCTCTCTAATTTTATCCCTTTTTTTTCTCTTATGTTTAGAATCATGTAAGAAACTAAGAGTCTTTGAAAATGCATAATTGCATACCAAGATCATTACCATCTTGCTATCCTGAAAGCACACTCCTAAAGCAGCTTCAAAGGAAAAGCCAGAACTCCAAGAAATAGACTACTCAATAAATAACACAAATATGGCATCGTACTGAAATTCTTGAGAGAGGGATTTTCACATGATTTTCACAGATAAGAACCAAAAAGATAACAGATAATGATATCATTAATACAGCATGTCACATATAAACTTCAACAGTCACTGCAATACATACATTTTAATTTAAGGTGACTAATCTAAACACAGCATAGAAAGCTTATAATTACCTTTTTAACCTAACATTTCCAAAAAGTTTCTGTGCAGCAGCCCTGGTAAACATCTTGAAACCACACTGCAGGCATGCAAAACCCATGGTAAGATAAATGCATTTTCAGGTGTACTTCATACAACTTCTAGATCTATGAGAATGAAAAATTAGTGATTTCTATGAGAATGAAGATCCAACACAAAGCCATATCAAAGAATAACACCTGCGTATCGCGGATACCAGGACCAGAAGCCAAAAGAACAACAAGATGGAATCCTTTCATCAAAAAGTTTCGATACCATTTTCTCTGAATAAGAGAAAAACCATATATATTAGCATTAGTTCTGCAGTTAAAACCACAAATAAAAAGGCAAAGTTGAGGAGCCAAACCGTAGCAAGAGCCTTATCCTCAAGATGAGCACGTGAACCAAACGCAGCAACAGGAACATCACATACTCCAAAACTCGAATCACCGCCACCAGAAGCATTTACATCTGTCTCCTTTCCAGCAACTGTAAGAATCTAATGGCCAATACACTGTATGAACACGCATGCATCTATGATCTATATACTCCAAGATAGTTTATACCCTTTTTGTTCTCCATCATTCTCTGTATATAGTGACTTCAAGAATGAGATAAATAGTACCAACCTGATTTTCAAGTTTCTCCAAGTCATTGACTTTAGTTGCTCCATCCGCATCCAGCATAAGAAGTAATTCACCACGAGAATGAAGCATTCCCTGTTCAAATAAGCAAAGAATATCAATCAGTTATTATCTGATTGTCATCCAAGCAGCAGAGTTCCTCCAGAAACATTCAAATATACTTCCAAGAAGTTGTTGACTAGCCTGAGTTAACTTACTTTTCTAATAGCTTCCCCCTTCCCATAGTTTCTTCCAAGAAGAAGAACCCTAACATTTTCCACCTTGTACTTTCTGACGAAGTCAAATGCCACTCTTTTGGTCCCGTCAACACTTCCATCATCCACTAATATCACCTAACAAACCATATGATTTGAAATCGTTAATCACCACATAATATAATTTTACTTCAGTGTCAGATTATCTATCACAAAATTGCTGCTGACATCAGTGTAAAATTTTGAAGAACTACAGATCCTTGCAGTTCTCAAGTATGTTTTAACAAATAGAGTTGTTAAACAAACCAGGGTGTAAATGAGCCATTTTTTATTTTGAGAAAGAGTAAATGATCATTAGAAGCCCAAGCAAAATTCCTAACTTATAGCAATAAAGATAAAGCTAAGGATCCTAACATCAAAATCCATGTTATTTGTCAATGCCTATGCTAAATATATGAAGAGCTCATCTAATACAAATATTACAATGAATCAGAAAGTAATCAATTAATAAAGCACACTATTAGCTTATATCTCTTTAGTGAATTATTTACATTAGGTCATAAGTCATTAGAGGTAGAAACTTAATCTATCTCAAATTTATTATCCATTATAAAAGCTGAAAGAGCCTGAGGATTCAGGCTATTTTCTTCGAAATAGGAATTTCTCAAAAATAAGTTTGAATATTTTTTGCAATATCGATACTCCGGTACTCCCTGCATAAACCTTGACCATTCTTTTGCATACTACACATGCTGCAAATAATGGAACTAAACAGCATTACGGTATGCACATCTGTTCCTGATACTACGTATACAAAGTCGAATTATAAACAAACCCTAAAAATGAAGCATGATATACCCATGTAATACAATGCACAGCATATTCAAATCTAGTGCAGTTTAGGTTATACCTCATAAGTAAACGATTTATCTTTTTCTCCACGCTGTTGCAAATAGCTGAAAATAAGACAATATATGAATCATTAATTAGGTCCCTCCCTGTTGTTGCAGATTGCTGACAATAAGACAAGATAAATCACCATAGTGGTGACATAACTTTAATGACAGCACTTATACATGCAGAGAGCTGACCATGCCTTCTAATAGGAGGGAATCAGAGATCATATAATTCAGCATTGATCACAACCTATGTTAATCGGACACGGCTAAAATTGTGAAGTGTCCGTGTCGACACGACACAGACACGGACACTAATACAGACACGGGACACATGTCCGACCCTTCACTGTGCACTCGGACACTTCCATTAAGAGTGGAGAGGAAAAAAAGAGGAGAAAGATGAAAGAAAAACACATTTTGTTCGAAGACCACAATTGATATAGAGAAGATGGAGAGAAGAAGATTGCCATTTATTAGGAGAATTTACCAAGAAAGAATTAAAATACAAAATATAGGGGTGGACGTAATGAAAAATTAAAGCTTTTGTAATCTATAATTTATTTATATAAATTTAAGTGACGTATTGACGTGTCCTCGTTCCAAATATCGGACAAAGTCCCCGTGTCCTAAAATTTTGGAACTTGCCGGATCGGGCACTTGGACATGTGTTTGTGTCCGACACCCGTTCCCGAGTTCATGTAACATAGATCACAGCATAAAGGCTGATGTTTCCGTAGACCTAAGTTTAAGAATCAGCTTTATGCAAGCATGTAGAATGCAAAGAGTATCATTCTGCACTTTAAACATCATGACTATCCCATTTGCCAAACCAGAAACAACACTGATTGTCAGTATAGTAGGCCACTCCCCCAGTCCTCTCTTACTTCCACCAATTTTTCACCTTGGTTCAAGGCATCAAGGCATGTTCATACCACCCACTAATGTTCATACATTAAAATAGGGTAAACCATATAATGTAAACAAATTATGAATTTATGATACCTAACAAGAAAACATTCTTTTGAATTCTGAAGCTTTGAAATTCAAATGATTAAATCTACATATAATGTAACTTGTCACCAATCTATACATAATTACAGCATCAGGAATAACAGAGAAGAATAGTTACTATCTTTTGGGGGGACAGACAAGTTTTCCAAAACATAGTATGTAAGATATATCAAAGTCAGGGCCTTATGTTGTATTAAAAGCACTAACAAAAGAGGTAACAGACAGACAAACAGAGAGAATATTGAAGGATCTTATTTTGCCATTGTACCCTAGACAAACTTACTTAATAGTTTCCTCAAGTGCACTTGGAAGTCTGTGCTCCTCGTTAAATGCAGGAATTATCAAAGATATATACTTCTCAGCGGGATCAAATATTGAAGGGCATGGAACCTGAGAAAATAGTTTCCTACTGAAGTCAACAATTCTGATAGCAAGATACCTCAAGCAAATTTTTACAATTAGGTTAAGTTGAATATGTGGAGCTCAAAAGCAAACAAATCAGCATTGACGAAAAAGGAGTGAATTCAAATGTGTTTCCAACAGTTCTTTAATACTCCATATATATACATTTAAACATGCCCACTGGTAGCCAATAATTGTTCTCTTGGCACATAAAATACGAAAAAGATGCATGACGTACCAGTGTAAGTGTGCCTAAGAATTAGACGAGTAACATTTTCCAATCAGACCTTTCGATCGGTTATATATATTTAAGGTCCCTTAATTCTTCCATCACAAAAGTAAATTTGTGAATTTTCATACCACAATCCACTCATCACATAATGCATTATCACTCTCTAAGTAATAGGTATTCTTAAGCACATTTGAAACAACTTCAATAACAAATTTATCTATTGAAATGGTACAGCAAAGGAAGTTTTCAGTGTTCACCATTAATTTCTAACAATAATCTTAAATTCCTTGATTTAATTTCCTTTCTTTGTAACAGGTCTAACTAAATCATACTTGTATCCAACACAAAACATTACAACCAGAAAATTCAGTAAGATCAACATACAATTCATAAAACAAAAATTACAAAACAATAGAAACCCTAGAATCAATCAAATTTTCAAACACCAGTATCAATTGATCTAAACTCAGAAAATACAACACATTAAGTGAAATATAAGTTAAAATTGATCGAAAATTTTACCTTATTAAGAGAATTTGGATCTTCGAAAATTGCTTCACCTTCAACATGACTACAAAAACCAAAATCGTCGAAAAATTAAGAGTAAAAAATTACTGAAATAGTCTAAAAATTAGGGGAAGATGATAACATACGAATTGTTGAATCGGCGATTGTAAGCTTCGAAGAAGATGATAGAAATAATGGCAATGACAACAAGTAACGCGGCGGCGCCGAACAGTTCTACCACCGTCAACAGCCCTCCTCCGCCCATCTTCGCCGTCTCCTTCTCTCTCTTTCACGATATTTGACTCCTTCCCACCGAGTTTTTTTTTTTCCCTTTTTTTTACACTGAATTTTAGTTTTGTTTACACTACGAATACTGTCAAACTAGATTTATTTTCTTGAAAAAAAAAAGTAAAAATAGAGGAAATAAAATAAGTAGGAGTAAGTATAACTTTACTTCAATAAAAAATTAAAAATAAGAGTAACTTAGACTTTTAGGTAATAGTTCCTTAAAAAAAAAAAAAAGGACTTTTAATGTAATAGTTTTTTTTTTTTTTTTTTGACAGGAAGCAATAGTTTTTATTAATTAACCAAAGTGGCATAAGTCAGCCAAAACAAGAGCATTTACATCATTTGGATATTCCTCCAACCAAACTCTAAATCAACAAACTGATTACATAACTTGGCAAGCCCATGGGCAACACAATTGCCACTTCTCTTCATAAAAGAGTAGGATACATCCTGACACAATCGAGCAAGTCACAATAGATCATTCACGATCATACCAAAAGTCGTAGGAGGCACTAAGCCCTTCACCAAATGATTATGGAGCTTCAAGCAATCAATTTCTAAGCAGACCCTTCGAAAACCCGCTTCAATTGTAATGTTCAAAGCATTGCGCATAGCAACATCAACTTCAAAACATCAATGTCGAGTTAGGGAAATACTTTTCATTGAGCACCTTAGCCATAAGGGACTCCTCATTGGAAATCACACGCCAAGCTTGCTTTGCAAGTAGGGCCTTGTTAAAAAAATTCATATTTCTAAAGCCAAGCCCACATTGCTTTTCAATGTATACAATTTATTCCAAGCGACCCAACAAAATTTTTTCTCCTCTCCTTTTTGACCCTAAAAAAATTGTCGACATATAATCTAAGATACTAGCCGGAATCAAGAAGCATTGTAAAGATAATAGTTGTATACTTGTACTTTGTAATTAGATTATACGTAGTATTAACTACTATGGAATATAAAATTTAATTGTAATCAACAAGTGTTTAGATAAGTTAATAAGCGACTTGTTCTAACTTAATCAAAGTCTCTTGTTTGAGATAAGATTTAAGAATACTCCAATACTTTTTTTTTTTGAAACGGAATACTCCAATACTTGTTAGACTTGAATCCAAATTAGTTGATTTTTAATACTTCCTCCGTTCTTTTTTTATTGCACCATGAGGGATTTTAAGCTTGCAAATGCATTACTTTAGCTATTAATATCTTCAATTATACTTTTGTAAAAATTATAAAAAAAAATATTGATATTTGAAAAGTAGATTTCGTGACGAATCTAACTAGATCCCACATGACTATGTTTTTCCTAATGGATAAATCACAAATGATGATAAAAGAAGATTAAGTGAATAGTGTAAAAGTTCTTATGGTGCAATAAAAGAAAAACGGGGAAAGTATGTTGCTCTTAATTTAACATTAATATTTTTGTTTGTAAGTGTGTGGTCATTCATGGCGAGAACAATCTTATAAGTTATAATAAATGATTAAAGAAACATTCTACAATTCCAATTTCCAAACAACTTTCGATTCTACAATCTAGCTCACACATAACAGCATAAGCCACCTACTACATATAAAATTATAAGTATGATTATTCCCTTAAATTCTTACTTATGATATTGACTTTTAGTAACTTCCAGTGAAAAGTCAATAGCCTACACTAATATATATTATAATTAATTATCTATACAATTGAAGTCAACCAAGCCCGTCTAGCTCAGTTGGTAGAGCGCAAGGCTCTTAACCTTGTGGTCGTGGGTTCGAGCCCCACGGTGGGCGTTACACTTTTTTGTTTTCATGTTTTTTACTTTAGTTTTTGATTTTTATAAATCATGTGGACTTACATGGGATAGACCCCTTACACTGGGCTGCAACGCACAATAATACTTTTTTTTTTTTTTTTTTTTCCGGACACATATAATACTTCTTAATGGATATGGCTTGCAAATCTGCTATATTCAGTTTAATTTGCACAACAAAATCCTATTTAATGTTGAGCTTTTTGAGCCATATCCAATGGTAAAACACTTTACTCATTTCCTTATAAAAGGACCATAATAATGGAAAGGTGATGAATTTCTAACTTTATTATATTATCAAATTAATACATACTTGTATGATTATCCATGTCATATAACCTAAAACTAGTGGTATTATGATGTAGAAAGAGTGTATCTTTAGATCATCAAATATGAGTATGAATTTTCTAAAATTGGATAGTGGAACGAAATTGTAATTTAATTTAGTTCTATGTAAATTGGTCAACTAAATGTGTTTCATCTAGAACAAATCCATAGTTTATCAAATGTTAGGGACATTGTCAAATTGAATCTAATATTATAAGCATGTACATAAATCACGCTTTTATAATTCTTTCCCTGATCAATCATGAAACTGACTGACAATGATTAATGCCTAACTCATTCGGTACATGGTAGAGCGCAACCATAGATAAAGTAGCTCATTAGACTTATATGCTAGTCATTTAGAACATACTCAAACGTTAATATCACCTTAACACATTCGCGACAATTGAAAAGCAAATTTGATACAAGGTCCATATCTTCCTCCATCAATGGTACTTTTTAAAAACATAACCCTAGTTTCAATTGTAAGCTAGTACAAATTTTCATGTGCAACCGCTGTATTGGTGGGGTATTCTGATAAGTGATAACAGAGAGCATTGATTAAAGCTTGAGGGTGACACCAAATCAAAGAGAAAAGAGAATAATGAAGAAATCCATTTGTTTATTCACTTTTTTCAGGCCATAAAGCTTATGGGCTATTGTTTAGATTGGCCCATCATCTTTTTTCAGTTGAAAAATGTTTCATTAACACAATTGCCACCTTGTCCAAACAACTTTAATCTTTTTTTATTTTTTTTATTTATCATCATCACACCCATCCGTACCATGCACCATGCCATCATTCATCTTTTTTCTTCTTCTTATCTTTCTGTCATTATAATTATTATTAATGTTTTCTTGCTCCCTTATCAATTAATAATATTTTTGTATGGTTGACAATTTTTACATAGTGGTATGCATTATTAGCCTATTTAGCCATATGTAGGTTGAATGTGGACCATTTTTATCTTGGTAATTGATACAGCAATTGAAACATTGGTGTATGCAAAAAGATGGTATGATGATGAGTAAATCATGACTCTTATATACCATATATCGTAAAAAAATAGAAAGAAAATGTAATCGTAGAGTAGCTAATTGATGGGAAAAGTAAGCAAGGTTGAGAAATTAAATATAACTTAGAACTTGAATACTTGATGAAATGATAATTATTAACTAGGTTAGAGTAAATAAATAATAAATTAGATTAAAACAAAAAAGTAATACCAAATTTGACTAACTCGTGTTATTTTGGTTTAAGATAAGAGGTTGTAGATTAACAAAAATTAATAAATTTGAGTTTTTCAAGTGCAAAGTTTTTTGTATTATATGCTATGTGTATTTTGCAAGCGTATTACATTATATATAACTAAAAAAATACTGAAAATGACAATTATTTTTAATGACAACATGATAATTGGTTAAAATTTACATGAAGAGCATGTTTTTGGCAATTTGACCAATTACAAATGTAACACCAATAAGTAACCAAAATAATAATACGAAGTAATAGTCTCTTTTTAACCCATTTCCCCGGCCCCGTTGAATCTAGGTTTTTTTATGCATCCAAGTATTTTTGTTGCAACGTTGATTCATAACTAATGAGAGTATTCTCATTGTATGATAAAACAATCTTGTCAAAAATAAAAAATATATGAAACGGACATGTGTGTCCTTTTGTGAGAGTTGAGAGAAGACAATCTTAAATCCTTACAAAAATAGGCAAAGTAAATCATTGAATGAAGAACAAGGGGATCTGGACATATACGGAGAAGTATAACAAATTAATCATTTTTTTTTTTTGTATTTTTCCCAAAAGACTAAAAAAAAAAGGGGGAGAATTCTGAAGACTGATGTTAGACGTGGGTTCTGTGGCAAATTAATAGAGAGAGCTTGGAATTTGTTAAAATATCATGTGTTAAGCTTTGGAATTTGTAAGAAGGGACTCAGATCTCGCCACTCGCTACTCACAAGCAAACAGTATATATGTCGATCACTAAAGTACTCGTAGTTTGCAATTTTAAATTTTATCCCCTCGATCATTTGGTAATCCAACCGCTTATTACCGATCGACTAATCTAGATTCGAGTCAGATTACTGGGTTCCAAAACCTGAAAAGCTCTCTCGATCGAAACCATTTGTCACGGGTCATCTCCCACACCAAGAATGGGCGTCAAGAAGGTCACTAGGCAGCAAGGCAACAATCGGGGCTAGGGGACTTGCCTTGGTGCTCAGGTAAGCACTTCCCCCTAAAGAGCTTTATATTGAACCTTGCTTAAAATCCTAGTGAACACCCACTTGACAGTAACACAATAATGGGTCGTTTGGAGACCCAAATGAAGTCCAAATGGGCCCAAATTTGGGGGTCCACCGTATTTTGGGCCAAGGAAGACGATGGTGGTGTCAGCTTTCTAAGACAAGGTCCCGAAATACAAATTTGTGCAGCAGGTAGCCCGGGAAACGTGGGAAGCTTCTAGAAGGTTCCGGAGCTATCTACGGAGTTCTTTTGGAGGAGTATTCTAGAGAGGATGTCTCTAGAATATTCAAGGTTCATCCAGTGCATCTTAGAAGTCTCTAGGGCCTTCTATGTATGTACATTTTGAATGTAAAGTTCTAGAATGTTCTAGGTTAGTAGTAATCTTATCACGACTGTCCAATTGGTACCACATCATTCACACTTTACCAAATTATTCTCCTTCTTTCTCTTTTTTTCCTTAATTGCATTTTTAACTACCCGGTAACTCGGTTACAAATCTTACAATACTTTGTATGTACGGAGCACAGTATAATGGTATTAACTCCGGGACTACTTTGTTGAATGCAATTTAGTATCTATTGTGAAAAAGAATCCCTATTCCAGGAGCTAATTTTGATACTTCTAAACTCTTTTAACTTTTGCAAGATATTGCCTCATAGAGTTATAGCTCATTAACACTCCACCACTACCTTGTTGAATGCTAAAAATCAGATTATATGTTACTTTGATTAAACATATGTCAATCAAAACCCTAAAAACTACTTCAAAAACTACTATCAAATGCGCCTATAATCAATAAATTAGTAGTGTTTAACACTATTTTACTCGTTGATAAGAGATCATACAACTACTCTTCATCTATTAATACTTTGTATTGATTATTATTAAAAACAATCATCCTACTCACTTCATGAATGATGATGAATCCAAACAAAACAGAAAACAACAAAATTTAACAAACTTTCTGACGAAAAAAATTTCCTTATATTGCAAGTGATTGACAATTTGACATAAAACAATAATTCAAGAGTCAAGAAGATTACATGCATACTATCAAATCACTATCTTGAGTTCAACTTAAGTAATATAACACCTAATAAATGTGCTCCAAGACAAAAATGTCACATAATTCATATTCACAATGTACGTAGTACATCACTATCTAAACTCCGAAATTGACTTATAACAAAATTCAAACAAAATTTTAGATTAAGCAATGAAGAACACACAATAACATTCTATTTAAAACATATCAAAACATGAAGTTAATCAGCTAAATCCTACAAAATGTAGTTAGTACAATAGTCAGTAATACTAGTAATAAATTAATAATTTAACTACTACGTATCACTTCTGCTCATCATATTTAAATAACTTGATAATGTAAAAAGACGTATTCCGAAGAAAATTAAAAAAGCTAACATATCCGTATTTATTGATCATTAGTAGAACAAAATAACATGTACAAGTACAACAACCAAGTCAAAAACCCAGGAAAAATTAATATAAAAACCAAGATTACCCCAAAAAATAATACTCTGCTACAAGAATTATTATAATAAAAAAAAAAAAATTAATGAGCAGCAACAGAACGAGAATTATTATTAGTGGAAGAAGAATGATTAAGAGACCTTTGATTAGGCAAAGCAAGCATAGCCGTATGATCAAGAAAATCCTTAAGAGAAACAACCGAGTGTAGAATACTACGCAAATCCTCACCACACTGGAACCCACCTCTCTCACCGCTTCTCCTCACACCAAAAACATAAAAAGTAATACACCCTTTTCTAAACTTAAACCTGGCAAAATCCCACCCATTCATTCCACGAATCAACCGTTTATTGACGTCACCAAGAGGGATCTCGTGAGGCCACGTCAGATCGGCGGTTGATTTTCCGGCGATGGAGTCGAAGACGAAGATGATGACTTTGGATTTCTTGGTGCCCAAGCCAAGAGTAAGGGTGTGCCAAGCGTGGTGGGCTAAGATGGTGAAATTGGAAGGGAGGAAAGCGATGGTGGAACGGAGGGGTTGTGGAGGAGAGAGATTGAGGAGGAGAGAGAGTTCTTCAGGGCGGCATCGGCGTACTGTGAAGGATTTTACGATGAATTGGCCGCCGAATTTAAGGCCTTTTACGTCGGTGTTTGGTTTGAAGGAGATGTTTGGGGCGGTTGATGCGGTGGTTGGTGCGGCGGAGGTGGTGGTTTGAGGGTGGATGTGATTGTGGTGTTTGTGTTTGGGTTTTTTGAGAGAAGGGGTGGATTTTTTGGTGGGGTTTTTGATATCTTGCATTTTGTTTTGGAGGGGAGGGAAGAGAGAGAGAGTGAGTGTTGTGGAGTGAGGAGAGAGAATTGGGTGAGAAATTTGGGAAAATGGAGGGGTTTGATTTGGTTTTGGTGAGTGGTTGATCGACAAAATAGAGTTCATTGGTTAGATTATTAGTTAGTCTTTAAGTGGAGGATTTTTTTCATTTTTAATAATTAAAAAGAATAATATTAGTTGTTGATTTAGATGTTTATTATTGGATGATAATGATTATTGGTCATGAGAAGAAAGTGATAATTGACTTGTGAAGAGAAAATTGTTATTTTTACCATGAGATAATAAATTTCCATATACTCTCTGTCTTAAAAGATTGCAATATAATAATCTTTATTTCATTTTATTTATTTATTTATCTTGACTTGCTCTTTATTTCACTTTTTTGATAAATAAAAATGATTTTGTAAATATAGGTGGACACAATTATTGACAAGGAGAAAAGAGAGTAAGTAGATAAATTACCAAGTATCATATCAAATAAAGTGTAAGACAATCCTTAAAGAACGAAGGAGTACTATAAATATATAAAGTACTTTGTAGTATTGTAGTTGTAATATTGTGTAATGAATATAGGAAATTTAGATAAGGACTAGTTAAAATACAATGTGTAATACTAATAACTAATAAGCAAGTTTAAAATAAATTTGGTTTCTGTACTAATGTAAGTTCAAATTAAATTAATTGCGCTAAATAAATGCTAATTATAAAACTATGAAATGAAGAATAATAAAGCTTATATAATATCAAAAATATAGTATTAAAATTAGATTTTTTGTTTCAATTTATTTTAAAAGTACATAAGACTATAGGAAGTTGCCAAGATATTTAGAGGACGTTAATTTATTTATTTTCCTTAAGGACAAGTCTCTTAAATTGAGTCTTCAAAAAAAAAAAAAAAAAAAAGTCTCTTAAATTGAGGTTTTGATGTAATTTCAACAATAAAAAAACAAATTGTCAGTCAACAACTCTTTCATTTCTTGTGTCATCAACCACAAGCTTTAAAAAAGAATATGAAGCATATAAAAATAAATAGAAAAGTTGAAACATGTTAAGCCTAATATTGTATAGCTAGTGAGCCAATGTTATTGGCCCTAATATCTTGTTATGTTGTATACATATACCTATTCATACAGAAATACAAGTACGGAAAATCAATTCCTGACTAACATTATTTTTGGAAGATTTGAAATACGAGTCGTAAAGAAGAAAATCCAAATGCACCTCCGGGAGATATGAACCATCTAAGATAGGGCAATAGAACAGAGTCATCAGAGTGACCAAAATCGGTAGTAACAATCCAGAGATTGGCGTCGAGCTTTGGACCACGCATTTTGTATGCCTGATTGGGAAATACTCGGTATTTTGGTAGCAATGCACAATATTGCATGTAACATTGGACCACGATCGTACTCTTTAGGAAATCTTAACTCCATTTCACAATACGAGTATCAACTACTACTCAGATCTATGACCTCTTTTTAAGCATTGTATTAACTGATGATGAAGTGATGAACCTTTTAAATTCCAACAGAATAGGATAAATGCAAGAATAAATGGAATGTACGAATGTTGTTCTATAGGTAGTATGCTATACTGCTATAGACAAGAGACAACGGCTCTCTATGCAGAAGTAATAGGATCACGTGGTTACCTACCCTATTCCTTCTCGCGGCTTGGTTAAATTACTTATGATCCCTACTAATGCTTCATAGTTCTTACGTGGTCAAAATTTTATTACAAGTATTTTTTTTAAAATTTACTTTTGTAATCAACTCTAAATACTAAATTTGATTCGTAACTACTCCCCTTACTATGCAATCTTTCTCTTCACCATCACCAAGATCGTTTACTTTAAATTAATGACATACGAAATACTCCCATCCGTTTTTGAAAATTCAACAACACATACATAAAAGTCATTATTTGTAAGATGTACGTGTGTGTTTTATATGCACGACCTAATGTATAATAGATGCTGCGAAATCTGGTTTAGATTGATACATGAAGTTAGGGTCATGTTAGATGTTACAACAGCCTGGTTTGTCAAGAAACAAACAGACAAAAGTTTGGTGAAAGTTGCTAGTCCTTGTTTGAGAGACAAGTAAGCTTAATTAGTACAATATCGACTATTAGCATAATGTCTTTTAGGAGAAGATGGTTTTCCTAAAGCTGAAGCTTCCGTTGCCTTCAATCAATCAGTTTACCCAAACTTATTTAGATTCGTAAGGAAGGTTTCCTGTCCCTCCAAGATTGTTTACACATCTCCATCTTCTTGATTTAGTCAATTCATTTGAATATTAATCTAGCAACTTGCTTATTTAAAGCTATGAAATTTGAAATTTTTTTGATTAGTTCTCTCTAAGAAAACATCAATCCCCCAAATCCCCTTTGCCTTAGCTTTCCTTTTTCTTCGGGATTAGATTTGAGACAATCAATAGTTAGAGAGTTACAAAACACTTATTGTAACATAATAAAAGTCGCTTTAAATATTAGGGATTGATCCATTTTTTCCCCAATTTTCATGGCCTCGTGTTATCGTGTATGTTATACGTTTGGTGATTAAAATTTTAGTAGTTTTGAGGGAGTTGGGATCCTCTCCTTCCCCCCAAACTTACACTTCGAAGTTGGGCGTAATGGTTTTAATGTAAAATTAAAATAATACTCGGTATTTTGAATACGTTGTAGTTGGAGATGAACGAGGGACCGGAGAAAGGGTAACCTCTAAATCAAATATTAAATATATAATGAAATGTCATAATTTTCATATATTAAAACATACATAATTTACATACCGTAAATGATAAATCATTATGCTAATTAGTGACCATCAACGGGAGTGCTAGACTACACAATTATTTTGTCAATGGGTCAAGAATAAAAAATCTTGTTGAAGGGACCCTCCTGATCCATATCCCCTGACTTCAATTCTGCCTACAGTTCTTTAAGAGAGATTAAAATTTACATGTACCATAACCTGCAAAAAAGAACGCATAAATTAGTTCAATGGAATGGATTCAGGATGCAAGATCTTAAGCTTAAGCTTGATTACATCGAAATCACGAAGATTACAAACTAAGTCTATTACTATGCAAGGTGTGCTTGCACATCAGAAGACAGAACACTCAAAGGTAGCAAATCTTTGATGTGATAGCATGTTTAAGGCCTTGTTCAAGTCAATTGTAAATTTTTTAGTTATCAAGTAAAAATTAATTTTAATCGGTAGGCTGGCTACATATGTATGACAAGTAAACTAGTAAATCGATCAAAAATTAGTCTTGATTAACAACTAAACTAGCTTAAATCGGTTTTAATCATTAATATTTTAGTTTAGCAAAAAAAAAGACGGTTGATAATGAGAGTATGAGGCTAAAACTTAGATCAATCTACGTATCATTGAGGATCTTCAGGTTAGGCTCTTCGAAATCAGGATTTAAAACATGTCATTATTAATTAGCACATAGAAATATGTATAGAGGAGCCTTGATACTTACTTGGATTCTGGTTAGAGATAACAGCAGTCTGGGAGAAGTCGCACTGGTAGGGCTGGCGACCCTTGGTCTGGTAAAATGTGTTCATGGCATAGGTCGCGTGAGCCCTAACATTGTTCGGGTTGTAACAAGCACCGCCTGGTTGAATGGGTTTGCAATCAACTCCTTGGCTGCAGACGTAATTGATGTTGGACTGCAGTTGTGCATCAGTGGCCTGTTGTTTAGGCACACACCATCCTTTAGCAGGGCCAGGTCCAGCAGGCCGAGCAGTCGATTTTGGTGGCCCTACAGGATTAGGACGCGTTTGAGACTGCAAGCCAAGGAAACACCAAATATTTAGATCATCATGATATATTGCGATTCAAAACTATAAATAACTTCAGACATGAGACATGATAAGAGGTTGAGAGGGATAGTCGAAGTACATTAGTACAATATCATTCACACACATTTATCTCATTTACATATGGTTCTTCGTTTCTCTATCAAACATTTCTAGTTGGCTTAGTACTATTATATCTTAAATTTCAGTGACAGTTTATCATGATTCTTCTTTAGGACTTATTGATCAAGTAATGAAATGTAATAAATCCAAAGATAAAACTAAGCAAGCATGAACAAAATCCTGCTATTCCTGGCTCTTAATAACTGAGATTTAAGCTATGAATCATACTAACAAAGTTTGACAGTCTACTACATGGAAAGAAAGGACTAAATTTCTTCTTAGAGTCGGCACTGTAAACTAATTTAATCTGTATATCATGAATCTTAAACTGCAAAAGCGATAGAAACAGCTAGGAAGAAAACATTACTGATGAAGGTTATTTACCTTTTGTCCATTCTTCAGAACACCAATATCGTAGACAGGGGTGAAGTCGGGCCTAAACAACCCAAAGTTCCTCTCAGCAACAGGTCCAGGCTTCTGGTTTTCAGTAAACAGCCCAAAAATGTAAGTCTCAAACTTCCTGCCAGGCATCAAAGGAGTTCCTTTCCCCGAGTTAACAGCCAGAACCAGTCTCGAGTTAAAGGTTTGAGCATCTGCAGGGCTGACCCAAGTCTGGAAAGACTCACCAACAGTAGGCCAACCAGTCTCGCCGATCACAATGCCAACATCTGCATAGCCCAAGGCCTTCATGGCAGAGTAGACAGCATCCATCTGAGACTCGAACATGTTGTAGTACATCTTCTTGGTATACCTATCAAACCTTCCTCTATTCCTCTTAAACAGGCAGAAGTTGACATTCTTAGGATAAACATCAAAGTATGGGTAGGGGTTTACGACGAAAGGAGCCTTGGTTTCGCGGAGGAATTGGAGCATTGGGGCTAACACACCCTTGTCCCATCCAGGTCGAAAACGGCCTGTGCTAGGAGGCTGTGACCGGCTTAGGATGGCCAAAGAATGAGGAGAAGATACCTGTAGTTCATAGCAGAGCATAAAATGAGTTTCATTTATCCGATTCATTTTCACCAGGAAAAGCAAAGTTTTAGCTAAATTAATTGAATACCACAATTCAGTAATCATTTTGGTTCATGTTATCAAATACTTGGGATTACTTTAAAGCGGAGCCTAATGTAAAATTCATGCACCATTTCACAAGAAATTTACAGCAATTAGCTTAATTGATTAATCACAAAGTTCAATGTTACTCTGTAGATTCTACGCCAGGAACAATTTACCGTGTTATTTTGTCACAAATTCCCAACTTATAATACATAGTACTCGTACTTAATGATATGATACATTTTTACCATATAGTCATATACGGAGTAATCTTTTGTTATACTTGGGTTGTTATAATTGGTCGCAACACCCTAAAATATGGCTTAAGTGCACTGAGCACCCTGAACTTTGCGTAGTAGCCAAAACACCACTAACTATAGTGTTAGGTGCGACGCGTGCCTTAAATGAAAATTTCCCGCCACTTATTTCACAGGAGGAGGTCAATCTTCACTCTCTAGAACAGTTTAAAGAAATGGTGAACAGTTCCCATTCACTTGGCATGTGCGGATTCACCTCCACCAGTGATATAAGTGGCCAGAATTTTCATTTAACTTGGCACGCGTTGCACCTAACATACAAACTACATTTAACTAACTACATTTAAGGTACCATGTAGTGCACCTAAGCCATGCTTCAGGGTGTTGCGGCCAATTTTGCCTTAAATATATGGAGTAGTACACTACATACAAGTATATAATATAAGATGATACATTAACATTTTGCACACATCCCAAATTAATCAACTTGACTATAGATCTTGGTCTTAGGAGATTAATTCGAGCTTGCCGAGAAAACGCAATTGAAATGTGGTGCAAATTCATCCAATTGCTAAATTTATAATATCTCTGTACAAAATTCAAGCAATCATGCATTCATACTGCACAGAGAGGGCCATGGTGTTGGCCTGTTGGGGACTTGAGGTGTCTGCTTTGCCCTGCAAGGCTGCAACCCTGCTTCACCAATCACCATTATGGTTTGAATTGTGTGGTTTTTAGAAATTTTAGATTATAGAGCCTCATTTTATTACCCCCCACATTATTAACACTTTTTTTTAATCTATATTTCCATGGGCCGTCAATTTATTAAGTCAAAAACTCAAATCAAGAAACACCAAACATAAATTTTTTTGGCAAAACCACATCAAAATTTCAAACACGCTTTAAATTTTTAAGACTGAAACCCAATACGGGTAATTTTTAATCCAATACCGTGTCACGAGTAGTATAACTCCGGACTTGCAACTAAATGGACAACGGCATTACTCTGTATTTGATAGTTGCAACTAAATGGACAACCATATTTTCCATTCTCATGATAGTCTGCAACATTGCAGACTTGAATTCATGATTAAACACGGCTACATATATGCATTCATGACTCATAAATACATTATTTATTCAACACTAAGAAAATGAAACATCATCTTTGGTACCTTTGAACTAACTACATTAATAACTATCATTACTACCCAAAACCACAATCAATCATCTAAACAAGCAATAATAAAAATCATAAAGTAACCTCCAAAAAAAAATTGTACGTACCTGAATATGGTTATGGCCAGCTTGTACGAGGGCTTGGTGAAGGGTACGCATAGCAGCAACAAGATTATCAATAAGGTTTTGTGGGCCCCAATGAAGGACCTCATTACCAACAAGAACTCTTATAATATTTGTTTGTGGAACAAATGGTGTAACATACGTAGCAACCCATTGTTGTGCACCAGGGAGCTGCACAAGGTTTGGAATCTCGCCATTAGGCACGGTAATTGTCACGGCAACACCCGAGTTAGCGAACGCCTTTACAATATCGGAATTGGCATCAAACAATTTGATCCTATTAATTGATGTTTTTGTTTTGAGGAATTCCGCCACCTGAGCAGGTGGCGGAAGGTTATCCCCTAATGTACCGTAATTTACCCCGACGTTCCATGCGACGGCGGGGTGAAGGTGAAAGTGGAGGAAAGAGAATATGATGAGAAGGTTGAATAGGGGATTCATGGTTATGATTGTAGTTTAAACTTTGGGAGAAAGATGTTATTGTGGGATAAGGAAGGTATAAATATATTTTGAGTAGGAGAGGCTAGGAGGGAATCAAGGTGGAAACACACCCAACTTTGTTTTGGCTGTCTTTTTCACCATTTACTATATTTTCCCTTTTTCGGTTTCCCATGGAATCCTATGTCATTGGTTCTTATTTTCAATTTTTTTTTTTTTTATAATTTATTATGTGTAATGGGTAACTCTATTAAGCTATTAAGAATTCATATGAATTCATGATTAACACGGAGAATTTAATGTGACTTATCATATACAAACCCTCGTTTTTTTATTAATAGACACCTTAATAAAGTAAAGTTTGGAAATTATATTGGTATGAGAATTTTAAAACCGTTTCACATGCTTTTTTTTTTACTTTTATGGGACAAAAATAAAGTGGCAAATTTGGTCACAAAATCTTTCAATATAATAATGGCCAACAAACTCGTTTTGTGGGGTCCAACCAATTAGATCACCGTGTTGACTTACAGTAAGGGTTTTCGTCGTAAGTGGCGGACTGTTGTCTGTTGGATGTTCTTAGCATGTGTCTCTTTTTTTTTTTTTTTTTTTTTTTTGGGTGTGCATATTCGTTTTAGACCGTTGGCAAAAGGCAGGTTGAATAATTTGTGCTTTACTTTAAAATAAGAATAAAGTTTAAAATTAAGTTACTTTTTTCTGTTTTTAGATCTTAAGGAATAAGGAGGACAATAGTTTAATTGATGTACGATTACAAATTTACAGGTGTCCTCAACTCCCAATTGAAAACATAGAATTATGCTAACGTTCAAAATTCAAAAAGTTGAAGAAATTTCAGATAACTTAATTAGAACGCTAATGAAGTTCAAGGCAACCAATTAATGATTAACTAAGAGTATTATATAATAAATTTCACATCCCAGGGAGCTTAAGTAATCATTAAACTAATTTGCTAGCAAAGCGCTAAGAGGGGTAGCAAGCTAGCAACTTCATTCTTTCAGATGGGAGTGAGAATATCAATCGCTTTTCATACTAGTCATATAATTCACGTATCAACCACATGAATATCAATATTAAAACTACTGATGCTAATTACTTCGTAAAATTCAAGCTGACAACTTTCTTTACAAAAACATAAATAAATATGCAGTTTTAATACTATATATGTAGTTTTTTTTTAAAAACAACAAAAATATGATATAATAGTTCACACAAAAATATGTAGTATATAGAGTTTAGTGTATAGTGTGCCTAGGACAATAGGAGTATTAGTAATGTTATCTTAGTTAAGCATACTTACATTACATAAAATAAATACATACATGTTCATTGTAAATACTACTCCCTCCATTTTTAATTACTTGTTCCATTTTTCATTTCCGACCGTTTTTTAATACTTGCTCTATTTCCTTATTTGAAAAGATTTTACAATATTTAATTCTTTATCTCAATTAGTGGACCCAATATAAATCATATTTTATTAATTTCATATTCTCTCTCCTCCCATTCTCTCAACTACTTTTGTTTTTTACAATTTTTTATTCTTTCACCTACCCCACTACCTCCATATTTTATTATTTTATCCAATTTCTCCTAAAACTCCACGCATGGAGAAATAGAGCAAGTATTTAAAAACGAAGGGAGTACCACTATAATATTTATCATTATTTTTGACTTGAAATGAATATGCTAGCAGAGTAACAACTAGTGTCAAAATGTAGGAAAAAAAGTAATTCAAAAACATATTTAGTGTATAATTATTCGATTTAAGTATTACTCCATATACAAGTTTTAACAAAATCTACTCACTCTATCTAAGTTTCAAATAAATTAAAGCATTTTTTGTACGAGTTTAAATCCGCTCGAACTGTGAGGTGGCCAGTCAAACCTTGGGAAAAATAACTCAATAAGCAACACGGTGGATTAGGATGAGGCATGAATTTTGAATACACGGTGCAAAGATATCATCTCATCAAAATACACGAATAAACACGGTAAAACTGTAAGGTACTAAGGTTGTTTGTGACTTTATCCAATCTAGAAGTAATTTGGGATAACACGGTTGGCAAGAGATATTAGGATACTTGGATTAGCGTGAAGAAATCATCAATCAAGTTTCACGCGAATATTTGTTGGTTGGGCTTGGGCCAAGTGTTATTGTTTACAGATGGGCTGGCGGCCCATATAATGTATTATCAAAGTTTGATAAAAAAAGCTGTTGCGGGCAAAACAGATATATATAAATAGGTATAGTATCATGTAAAATGTCAATGTGGGAATAAAAACATTGAGTATTCATGGCAAATTTTCTGTTATTAGATGTCGTAAATTCTAACAGTCACACCTTTTGGCTCATCGGTAGTTCTCATCTTCTTGCGTATCCTAATCCTTGCAACTCCTTTGATTAGACCTCTCTTTGTTCACAGTTCACCTCCTGGTATACGAAGCGTAAATAAAATAGAGCTTGTGTAGCAACCCCCATCTCACGCAGCTCAGGTACCGCCTATATAGGCGTAAAATGTAATCATCCTCATTAATTAACATCAGCAAGACTGCAAGTCTTCTGAGTTCAATACAATAAAAAAAAGTTGAGTCTGTCAGACAACCGTGTGACCATCCCAAGCTCACAAAGTAGGCTGGGGAACGATCATCTACGGGCCAGTAGTCCGAGGACCAAAGGTAGCTGTTAATCACGCTCTGATCGCACGGTCATAATTCATCCACCAGACTTGGTTTTCTGTCTCCTTAGAACTCAAGGATACAGAGGTACGATCCTATAGAACAGATCCTGTTCAAGTAAGGTCGTATCCATCATATGCACCTTAAGTGTTTATAAACATGGTGCCGACTTTGTAAAATAACAATGTGGGATTTGTCAAAAATTATGTCCTAGCTTTAAAGTAACTAGCTATGCAAATCTATAGGCTCAAGGAAACATAAAACATAAGGTTTATTATATTTGACTAAATTGGACTTTGAATACAAGTCTCATCATCAATAAGTTGACATTGTTGCAGAATTGCAGTTAGAGAAAACACATCGCGTTAACCAATTGAATTTAGTAATCTTCGTTTCATTGAATAGTTATCTAGTTTTACATTATAGACGTCCTTTTGATAAATCATACCTTTTGTTTAGGCAGCCTCAATCGAAGATCAAACAGTTACTTTGTGAATTGAGACAGACTGACAGCAACTAGAAATTAAGGGCGATTCTGGGGACTCGTCTCCCATCCCAACCTCAGTCCTTGGCTGCACCATATTCGTGAGCTAATGCAACCTAGATGATCCTTTGTGCATACTATGTTTTGGCAATTTAGTCTGCTGCGATGTTAGATTTTGACTTACACATGCCAACATTAGTGCAAGTCCTGAAATAAAAGTACTCCATATGAGTCCTTGGGACAAAAATCTACGGAGTTTTTAGCTCAAATATCAGTCTTCCATTTTTTTTGATCCAACATGAATGTTAAGTGTCAATACATTGTCGGAATGTTGAGTTTCCAGCACAAGAACTTGAGCCAGAATAAGAAGTCTTAACAAACGAAGTAGTTCATACGAATCATAACCAACAGAGTACAGACAGGCAGAACAAAATCAAAACAACTGATATCATTTGATCAAACATACTGAAAGTCATTGGTGAATTTTATCAAACTGTCTGTATCACATTTGATCTCTACTATGGAGTACAAAGTATTAGATAACAATAGAGTAATCCAGGAAAAACAATTAGCGTTGTCAGTGCAGGCAGGCATTAATTCCCTTGGGTTCATACTGTAAGCATTTGAGTTTTGAGAAACCAATTTTTTTTGGCAAATATTGATTATGATTTGATGAGTAGCTTATAAGATACTTCGTATATAAAGTCTTATTTTGATAGAAAAACATTAAAAGAGGATCGACATCTAAAGCTACGCATTCGAATGAATTTTTCTTTAATCATTCGCCGTACCACAGACTTATCATTCTTCTTAAAATACATACTGATGAATGAAAGCATATTGTTTTGAAGTTTCTAAGAACTTCAATTTGTTAGGTCTTGCAAAGGTAACAAACATTCAGCTGATTTGCATTAATTATTTACTAATAAAAAATAAAAATAGTACTCTGTATGTTTAATTGTCTGCTGCTCATTGTCTAGGATAGTATGATCAGGCCTCTGAAGAGATTCAGGCATCTTCTGTCAGACAACGTGATAAGTTGCAGAATTGAGGGAAGAGAGTTCTTTGAATTATGGCTATAACCTCGCCATATAAACAGACTAATTAATTACTAATAGATATATAGCTAAAGATATTATTGGTTAAAATGATGAATTAACAAAACAACGGGGAAATATCAATATGGTAGAACCAGTAAACGGAGCAAGTACATACATTGGTCATAATTTACCATTTGTAAGTAACACTTCAGTTCACACGGCATAATGTACATGGCCATAAGACCAGTTCTAATAGTACCTAGTCAAATAACCTTTGCATCAACAAAAGGCTAAATCTACTGATCACAGTAATGTTTTCATATGAGAAAATTCAAACAGTAAGTAGCAATTAATTTAATACTCTAAAGGATCGGACTAGCATACTATTTCCTCTTCTGACCAAAATAAAATTGAAAATAAGTACTCGCTGTTTTAGGGTCATAATCATGATGTGCATTACACAGACCGATTCCAGATGTTGTATAATTCCTCTGATTAGTTCTAAAAATGACATAGTAAATGAGCAAAGAAGAAAGGAAAAAAAAAAAAAAAAAACAAGTACTCCACTTGAAAGTTTCTTTAATTATGTTTTCTAATGTAACGCAAAAGCAAGATGACTAATTACACTAATCTAAAAATTCAAGTACGGGTGTGTGGTCAGCTGTGATAGATGTTTTGAAGTTTGAAATTTTCCTCAGGAATTAAACAAATCCTTCAAGTTGTACGATATGTTAACTATATAAACAAGTATTATCTTTTAAGTTTGAAGCAACATTCATAGCCTGCACACAAAGATTAACAAGTAACTTGTCGAATAAGGAGTACAGGCAGCTGATATTTTCAGCACAACACATACACAATGGCAAATTTCGGCGGGCTTATTATTTTTGTCTGTGCTTTCGCATTGCTTCCACTGTTTACTAACGTAGCTGCAGATTCATACGAATACAAACCTTCACCATACTACTCGCCCTCATACGTGTACAAATCCCCATCATACTATAAATCTCCACCACCCTACTCTCCCTCGTACTCCTACAAATCTCCTCCATACGAATATAAGTCTCCACCACCCTATGAATATGGCACCTACTCACCCTCGTACTCCTACGAGTCCCCTTCATATTACAAGTCTCCACCAGCTTACAAGGCCCCTTCATACTACAAGTCTCCACCAGCTTACAAAGCCCCTTCATACTCCTACGAGTCCCCTTCATACTACAAGTCTCCACCAGTTTACAAGTCCCCTTCATACTCCTATGAATCCCCTTCATATGACTACAAGTCTCCACCAGTTTACAAGTCCCCTTCATACGATTACAAGTCTCCACCAGCCTACAAGTCCCCTTCATACGACTACAAGTCTCCAGCAGTTTACAAGTCCCCTTCATACTCCTATGAATCCCCTTCATACGACTACAAGTCTCCACCAGCCTACAAGTCCCCTTCATACTCCTACGAGTCCCCTTCATACTACAAGTCCCCACCAGCCTACAAATCCCCTTCGTACTCCTATGAGTCTCCTTCGTACTACAAGTCTCCACCCTCCTACAAGTCCCCCTCATATGACTACAAATCCCCCGAACCCTACAAGGCTCCTTCATATGATAAGTCCCCTGAACCCTACAAGTCCCCTTCATACTACTACTCTCCTAAACCATACTACTACTCACCCTCGTACTCTTACAAGTCTCCACCTCCTTACTAAACTAAAGTCTCCACCATCTTACCTAATGCCCTAGCTTCATAATCATAAGTCACTCTCCCTGATACTGTTTATCTTCTACTTTCTACAAACAATAAAGACAAGTGTCAAAGTTTTGTTGTTTATTTCCACTAATCGTTTACTGTCTTTGTTACTTGGATGTTGAAAAAAAGTGTAATAAGTGTGCTTGGTTCCTGTGGGCTATTGACCCTATTGTTATATAAGAAATAATGTATCTGAGTTCTTAATTGAATTTATGGATTGATAATCTTGTGCTGCTACTCTCCAACTTTCTATTTAGGTGCACCTGATGCTGCATACATCACATTTAAATTTACAGGTACAAGAATGAAATCCAAATCGTGTACAAATACTACAAAGCTAAAATAATATGGTAGTAGTTTTTCACTTTTTGCTCAACCGATGAAGAACAGACGCGATTTACCACAAGTACCATTAATATATGATAGAATTGAAGAGAGATATCCACAAAATCCTAAAATTCAGCTACAATTTACATGTCCAGGTCACATTTACAGATAGTTGAACGCGCACATTGTACATGATGTATAAACCGCATCCACATCAATACATTAACATAAGGTAGGTCAAAACATACCAAATCAAAAGCTGCCTTGTTTAAGTGTGATTTGAAGGGTTCTCACTAAATTAAATCAGAAGTTAAGTCATTAAAGTCAAAACAATAAAATTAAGTTTGGATGACACAAACAAAGAGTGCAAATACTATAGATTGATATATAATAATACAATGTACCATAATAATGTTTCAAATAAACTAAAAACATCTACATGGGCATGGGCATAATATATGCATATTTGATTATTGAAAATATCTACTTGCAAACATAAATGGAAGTATATAAGAGAGCAATTGTTATTGACTTAGTGCAAGCAAAAAAAAATTAAAATCATTAAGGGTCTATTTGATTCATCTGATTTTGTTTGAAATCATTAAATCTCCTTCCGATGAATTTATGACAAAATTGAAAAGATTCATTGTATATACAAGTTCTATACTATAATTTTTTTTACTAAAACCGTGCATCGCATGGGGATAATCTAGTTTTGTCTAAAACAAATATATATATATATATATATATGTATGTATATGTATGTATCTAACACAAATCTTCCGAATCCTTAATACCCTTATTCTTAATTTTTCTTTTTCAATTAAAGGTTATAGAAGAATTGCTTCGTCAATCAAAGGGATAATAAAGTCATTAAACTAATTAGAAATTCACCTACAATTCCATTTAATATATATATATATATATAGAAATTTACTTATAGTTTACCACCTTGGCCTGCAAGTGATTAAAACTGATTACCCCTTATATAGCCGCATACCCGCATTAGTCTAACCTTCCTAGAATCCTAGTTATTCCCAAAAGAAAGAACTCAAAAAAGTTGAATCAAAGCACTGATAGCAAATTTACAATTAATCAACCATTCAACAATGGAAAATAGGAGTAAAAAAAACTGGCGATTTTGTTAAATATAGAACTAAAACCATCAATAAGGAGAAAAAGACAATGACGACATCTCAACTTTGTTCAAAGAAAATTGAATGATTAAATGATTAAGGTACGTACTATTTTTTTTTGGTATATTTATATTTTTTTTTTGTCTTACTAAACCCTAATTTTTGTAGGGTTTTTTTTTTTTTTGTTACAATTAGATTAATTCATTTGAGTAAAGAATACATTTTTATAAAGTTTTGTAATATATGATATATATTTGCAATAACAATTAATTTTGTAATTTGTATGTACACTATTATGAGGTGATTCAATGAAAAGTGAAGTGTCGGGTAAGGATTCCATGACCTCGTTAGAATGACAACATACATGGTACTTCCTGCCAAACTAAGAAATTCTTTGATTGGATTTGTTGTTGTTCTCCAATAAATTAAACTGATTGTTGTGGTTAGTTCTTTTTTAATTTAATTTGTTAGTACAATTATTTTCATAAATTGTACCTCCAATATAACGAGGCAATTCAATGAAAATTGAAGTGTCGAGTAAGGATTTCATGACGTCCATTGAACGTTGATAATTTGGGGCTAAAACTTTGTTGTTGTTGTTGTGTTTTTTTTTCTTCCTAATTTGTTCTTCAATTTGATCCGCAGTCAGTGACGAGCAAGGAAAAAACGTGGATGGTGAACCGACGGGATATTGCTAAGATCACATCATGCTGTAAATGTTGTGGCTTCTTGTTCTCTAACACAAACATCCACGAGTGCAAGAGTTATAGACCCTCCGAAGATCCTACTAAAAAATTACCAAGATTTTATATTATCATGCATTGCCAAGTTTGTCAAAGCTACTCATATACAGGAACAAAAAGTTGGCATAAATTCCCTCCGGAAGAATCATCTTCCATATCACTAATAAGATTTCTTCTGGAGAAGCTCGGTTTCTATTTTCGTGAACTTCGATTGATGTTGATCGATGCTTGGCTTGTGCAACCGAATGTTCATTCCACGGTCATCTCACTTGTCTTAAAGGTCCAATACGAAGGCCCTGATGGTTCGAGGTTAGAAAGAAAGTGTGATGTTGTGTTTACACCAGCTTATATGAATTGTCCTTCTTGTTTAGATTTAATTGATGAAACACAACTGAGCTATGTTGTGCAACTTAGACAGTATGCTTTCAAGATAAAACTCTTCGAGCTATAAAGTTACATGTGCTGACTACACGACCAACACTTTTCAACATTAAGAAGATGAAGCTTGCAAATCAAGGAGTGGATTTCTTATTTGTTAATAGAAAAGATGCCGAGAATTTGTACAACTTCCTCGTTACTCAAACACCTATTATGCCTGATCAATTTCGCAAGAAATTTATGAAGTCCTCTGATCCTAACAGAAATAATCATACCGAGATTTGGTACATCTCAGCTGTGATCTGCCCTATTTACCAGTATGATCTTATACATCTCCCTCGAAGTCTCATTGCTTCACATCATGTTGGAACTTTAGTTATTTGTATATCTTCCTATAATTTTATTGGAGTTCTAGATCCCTTAACATTGACTTATTGTCAGATACGTGTCAAAGATTATTGGAAGGAACCTTTTGAGCCTCTAAAGACTAGTAGTGAACTGGTGGAGTATAAAGTGTTAGATATGGAGATCGTTTCGAGAGGACAGTTATATTCTTTAGCAAATGTACAAGTTGCACGGGTCTCAGTTATTGGTAAGAATGGTACAGAATCTTTGGTTAAAACTCATCTTGGTAATGTTTTGAAGCCTGGGGATTATGTTCTTGGTTACGAATTGTGCAGTACGAATTATTCTGCTGATGTTGAAATGGAGAATTGTGTGGATATAGTGCCAAATGTTGTTCTGATTAAGAAGAAAAATGCAGCAGCAAAGCTGCATATTAAGGTTACTAGGCAGAAGGCAAGTCCAGAATATCAACAGTTCTTGGGAGATTTAGAGAAGAATCCAGAAGCGATGTTCAATTTGTCATTGAATGACAGAGAAGGTGAAAATCAAACCTCGGAAATGGTATCCATGAAGCCAGATAATTCAGAACTTGAATTGGAAGAATTGCTTGCTGATCTTGATTTGAGTGATCAAGAAGCTAAAAATCTCTAATCCAAATTTTAATTCTAGGATATCTTTGCGAACTTTCAAATACATTGTGTGAGTGAATTTGTTAATTTTTGTTTAAATGAACAATAAGTTTCGTGCAAGCTATATAAATTCCTGCATTGCATCCTTAGCTTAGAATGCCGAATGACTATCAGAATAATCAAAACAGAATGCTTTTAACTGTCTAGCCAGAAAGAAAGGAAAAAAAAAACTGATGGACTGAAATTCACCAACAGAGTTAGAGTATTGGAGTCAACAGAGCCCTTGTGTACTAATATATGTCAAGTTTAGCTTTTCAAATAAGAGGATCTTGCAACCACCTTATGTCTGTAACTCAGTTTATATTAGCTTTCAGGGATGAGGCTCTTGCAATCACCCTAGGTTTTGCGATGACCCTCTACGTACACAGGGCAGAGAAACTATTTACAAGGTGGAAACTAGGCTGCAAGTTCAGGTATTGAATAGATACACGGTCTTATAGTAATAAAACGGAATGTGAAACTTGAGAGGCTAGATTCACAAAAACACTTGCACCTAATACCTAAGCAGGCATCCCTTCACTTTGGCCTCCTAGAGTCATTTACTGAACACAGGCAAGCAACCCTCTTTTTCTCTTATTTCTCCACGTTCCCCCTTCCTTTTGTCTACGATTAAGTGGGGTGTTTCCTAAACAGGCTGACACCAAAAGGAAACAACTAATAAATAATCCCCACCGTAACAGCAATAACAGTTGATACAAGACTTCAGGAGACAGACATCTGCGAGTCCTGCAGACTGCAGTCATCTTAGATCCAACATATCCTAGATACTAGTACTCGTACGAAATTAAGACGTATTTTAATAGCATTATGGCTTAATATATATAGAAAACAAACACCAAACTATAGGCTTGTTGTTATACAGCATACAGATAATGGCCTTGAATACACATCTTATCTAGTAAAGTATCAATACAGTATTACTCCATTTATTTCATTGTACCTATCTAATCAGATTCCATTTAATTCCTTATATTGTTAAAGTATCAATGCACTATTACTAGTCATTTCAAACTACCAATGTACGAATTATCTAACAATTCCACGATATGTATTCAAATTTGCACAACAATATCATATGTGGATAATATGATCATATTGCTCCATAAATCAGTAAATAGACATGCATATATATTTTCTACTCCATCTAAATAAAAAATTCAATTTTCAAAATGAAGTAATGTTTTCTGTGCTTTTACCTATTTGAAGTCTCCTCTTTTAGCTCTGTTTGGAAGCAATGAGCTGTTTTTTTAGGGCTTCATTTTCTCTCCTCAATTTCATCATCTTCTGCTTCAGCAAATCCAACTGCTTGTCCGATGAAGAAAACTGTTTCGTCTTCGAAACGAGCAATTCCTTCTCCAAATCCCTAACTTTCTTACTCAATTCCTTCTTCTCTTCCTGCTCTGCGAAAATACAATCCCTCAAATCCTCAATCTCTCCTCGACTCTTCTCCTCCACATCCTTCATTCGACTCCGTAACGAAATCAGCTCATGATGCAGCTGATAAATCGTCGCTTCATCCGCCGATTTTTGGCGCGAAATCTCCCCAATTTGAACCTCCAGAACCCTAATTTCTTCCTCGTGATTTCGCTTCAATGATTCCACAGTTTTCCGATGAACTTCTGCAACTTTGAATGACTCGGTGGTTAATTTCTGCAATTCCTCTTTCAAATTGTGAGAATTTCCTTTGTGTTGTAAATGAAGCATTAGATTGTTTAGGGTTTCGAGATGAAGGTTCTTCAATCGTTCATTCTCTCTCTTCAAAGTGGAGCAGGTGAGCTCGAGAGATTGGCGATGGTTGATTTCGGCATTGAAGTTGGATTTTAGGGCTTGGATTTCATTGATACCATTTTCGAAATCGTTGGAGATTTGATCAGCGAGGGAGAGTAACTTCTCCATTTCTTCATCGCTCGTTGCCGCCATTTTTAATCCAGTATGGATTTTAAAGTAGTACAATATACATTCCTATAAGCAATGGGACTTGTTATCCAAGTAATCCAACATTACTTATATGAGAAAATATAAGTTTATCACATGTATCAAGTTAAGATGTTAATCAAGCGGCAAAAATGTATTAAAATTGCTTCGATATTTGTGCTTTTATAATTAATATAGTGAATTGCTAAATCGCGTCCGGTATTTACTGGGTAACGCCCGTATTTTAACATGACATTACAAGCATGCCCCCTTTTAATTTTACCCTAATTTACTTTTATCCCTTATAAATTTATCGTATTTTATTTTTACCCCACTAGCCACCAATCAGCCACCGCCACCAGCCACCATTATTCATAAAAAAAAAAAAAAGCTTTATTCAAAAATGATTTACACAAGCGGTGAATGGATGAGTTTGCGGAATTGACGACGCCATCGGAGAGGTCGCCTGTGAGTACGGATGAAGTTTTGTCGTTTTTTTTTATTTCGTAATTGCCGGAGAAACGTCTGAAAATTTAGAATCTATCATGGTAGGAACGCCAGAAATTTTAGAATGTCCCATGGTAGATTCAAAAATAGCAGGCGTTCCTCACATTGTATTTTCAAATGTTCATGGGAACGCCTGAAAATTTAGAATCTACCATGGGACATTCTAAAATTTCAGGCGAACCATGGTAGGAACGCCTGAAATTTTAGAATGTTCCATGGTAGATTCTAAATACAGGCGTTTCTTCCATGGTACATTCAAACAGTTCAAGCGTTTCTACTTATTATTATTGTTATTATTATCGTATTTATGTCGTTTATTATTATTATATTATTTAATTATTATAAATATTTAATTATTGTTATTATTATTATTTTCTTGGTGGTTGAATTTGGTGGTAACCGGTGGTGGTGGATGATTTTGGGGGTTGAATTTGGGTGAAAGAGAAAAGTAGGTGAAAAGGGTGAAGAGAGAGAAAGCTAAAAGTAAAAAAAAAATCTTTTGATGGGTTATTTAAGGGAGAGGTATATTAGTATGTTTATTTTAAAATACGGGCGTTACCCGGTAAATACTGGACGTGATTTAGTAACCCCCTTAATATAATAAGTGTGAGTATAAATATGTAATAATAAGTATAAATTTATCAGAGTTACATTACGATAGTAGTCTGCCCTATTTCCGAGGGTAGTCTAGTTTTTCTTGGGGGCCTTTGGTTATTTGTACTGGTGCCTCGAATGCTACCAGTTTTCTTGATTCCTTGAACCTTAGAGAATGTCGGATGAAATATTATGAATATTGGAGGGAACCTTTTGAGCCTCTAAAAGTTAGTAGGAAACTTGTGGAGTATATAGTGTTGGATATGGAGATTGTTTCCAAGGGATTGCGATTTTCTTTAGCAAATGCTCGTGTTGCTCGGGTCTCAGATTTTGGTAAGAATGATACTGTTTTTTGTGTTGAAACTCATCTTGGTAACATTTAGAAGCCTGGGGATTATGTTCTTGGTTGCAACTTGTGTGGAGCAAGTTTCACAGACGTCGAAATGATGAATTGCAAGGATAAGCTGCAGAGTATAAACAGTTCCTGGTAAATCTAGAGAAAAATCTTGAAGCAATGTTCAATTTGTCGTTGAATGGCGGCGATGATGGTGGTGAGAAGCAGAACTCAGAAATGGCCTCTGTAAACCCAGAGAATCCAGGATCTGACTTGGAAGATTTGCTGGCTTGCCTGGATTTGAATTGACCAAGAAGTTACAAACCTCTGATACATAATTACGAGGTTTGACGTGAATGCCAAATACAGTATGTTTTAGGATCTTAGAAATACATAAGAATTATGTCAAATACAGTATGGTTTAGGATATGAGAAATACAATGTAAGAAGATGTCAAACATACATAAAATTAGAGCATTTAGAATTATTTGAAGATTTTATCAAACTTGACCCTGTATTCCCTATTTTAACACATACTAATAGAAAATACTCCCTCGTCGGATATTTTAGTCACATATACTCCATACTAATGTGGGGTATTTGACTATTTGTTGTCATATCTCCGAAAACATACTAGTTATATATACGGTGTCTTTGATTTTATACTCACTTACTGCATGGTGAAGAAGAGAAAAAAGAATACTTGAGCAACGTGTTTTTTTTTTTTTTTTTTTTTTTTTTTACTCGGTATATATATATACACCTATCCAGCATCCAAAAGTTATGTCGTAAATCCAGAGCATTTACATGTATGCCACTGTAGCAGACAGACATAACAATCCAAAAATGAAAGCTTAGCAGTCTAACCATCACAAAATTCAAATGTTGAGCACCCAGTCTTTCTTCCTTTCATCTGGCATACAGAGAAACATCTTTCTCCATAGGGGGTCATCATGTATATACCTTGTTGCTTTCACGTATGACGCTCCATCTATTCCTTCTAGCGAGTTCAGTGCCTCCATACATCTAACAACATCGTGAACTTGCACAGATTGGTACCCACAACCATCACCGCTATCAGCAACTGAATCCAAGGAAGGGGTTAAGCTCAACTTCTTACTGATTTTTTGTCTCTTTGGAGTAGTAGACTTCTCAACCAATATATCTTTACATGGGGTCTCTGGAGTTTGACGTTTCTCAATTCTCTTGGCTCTATAAGGATCTCCATCTCCTTCACTGGAATCTCCTCTAATGTATTGGATTTTTGGATCACCAAATATCACGCACAATTTATCATAATCTTTCAATCCTTTCTTTCTGAAGCTTTTTGCTCGCCGATATTTCTGCATTAAAAGAACAAATCATTCAAGCCCACAACAAAGTTTTCTCATCAAACTAAAGACATGAATTTATTACTAAATCTCAACTATTAATAGTAGAAAAAGGTTGAAAATAATCATACCGTTGACAATTTTCTCCACACAGCATCTGAAGCAATAACTTCTCCAGTTATCGAGTCATACACAATGTCTCTCTCCTGCAACAGGTTACTAAAGTCACTCCATCGAGCCCTCAGGTTGTGATATTTATTCTTCAACTGCAAATATGTGTATTCCTTCCCTGTTCTTTGTCTCAGAGCCTCTGCAATACTTTTCCATGCTGCGTTGGCAAAAGTAGTTGCTTGCATGTTTCCCTTAGCAATTTCTTCCGCCATTATATATACAAATAGAGATTCATATTTTTCAGTCCAAAGAACTTCCACTCCATCAATTTTCAGTGTGTCATAGTCACCAACATCCTGGTTTGAGTCTGCCATTCTACCAGGTCCAGTCACTTCCCTGGTATTTAAAGGTGTTAATAATTTAATATCACATATAAGACATTAAACATGCAACACTAACACAGCATATACTTTTGCCAATTCTTTTTATTTAAAAAGGATAAGAAAAAAAACAAAACCAAGAGAGAAACCCAGCTGTTGATGATGATACCGTAACACTATACAGAGAATCCCTCAGGCATAACATCGAAGCCAAATCGCACTAGTGAATCCAGTATTCCAGTATGGGCAGATCTTGGGTCAGACTCACACTAACTACTAATGATGTGTGAACCATCAAAAATCACCCACTGAAAAATTAATAGCCACTCCTTAAATGGAAAAAAAAATAAAAAATAAAAAAATATAAATAAAATAAAAAATTCATCCTGACTTCGTCAACAATAAGCTAATGTGAGACCGACAGACCTGCTACAGTCAGCATATGGCAAACTGACAAACTAGTACTTGTATAACTTAAGAGCTTAATCTCATTTTATATACAAACACCAATTATGTCATCTAGCAAAGTGCAAAGTCCACATTCTAATTCCTCCACTAAGAAATTGATCATTTTTTGTGGTAGATTGGAACATTTTTAGCCAGCAGAAGGCACTAAATTATGTCTACTACAGAAGTTGGAAATTCAGGCAGGCATCAATGCCTATAAGGGCATAGTCCAAAACATGTCCTAAGCTAGAGAGGTGAACTCAAACAAGAAAGGACAGCACAATGTTCAAACCTATTTGTTCTTCGTAGCTCTTCAACTGACAAGATGGGCACACTTGTAATAATAAACAGTATAATCTTCTGACCTTGCGTATATCCCTAGACGCTAAACTAGGTTCTAGAGTGCAAATTTTTCACAATGATAATAAGATTAGCAGTTTAGCACCCTTCTCTGGCCAATAATAATCTATCGAGACACATATCGTGAGAAAGCCTATCAACTACAACAGGGGAATGTGACAATAATCCAAAGAGGGACCTCGCGCTTAAACTTGTTCTGCATTAGATTGTTGATACTATATCTGGTAACACATGATCCTACAGTCCTATGTATACATAATTTGCCAGATGCTATAGGAAGACTCACTACTGAGAACATTCTAAATTTTGCCACTACAAGCTCATTAGCTCGTTTCAAGGCACACATAAGGATGTCTAGGACAACATGGCTTGATCAATCTCAAAGATAACATAAGCAGATAAGCCTTTCAATTGCGAATCTAGAAAAATCAAGAGTTAAACCTTACCATCATCAATCAAGTAGCAAGTCAAAAGACATTTCATTCTCTGATATTTAATAAGCCGCATTTTGGTCATTTTACAGCAAAAAAGTTACTAAAAATGGAAAAAAACTGAATAGTTGCACATAATGTTTAGCGGACAAAAATAGTAAAAATTGCACATAAATATTAACGGAGGTAGTCGATAGGACAAAACCCCACCTCACTTTATATATAGGATATGGAAACCATGCATACATGCACTAGCTAGGGTTCAAGCACGAGTCAGCCACGGGTTTATAAATACTCTTGGAAATCCTATGCGAATTTCAATAACACAATCAACCAGGAAATCTAAGTGCATTATGAACATATAATTATTTCAATCTGTAAGTTTGGTACATGACAGGATCTTAAGACATAATTCTTTTCAAATGTCACAACTACATCTTTAAACGTTTGAAGCTAAAAGACACAGCCAAGGGTTTTATAAATACTAATGTTTGAAGCCTTCGAACTCCCTGGCTTATAAACCTATGCAATATGATATAAATAACTCGATCTATGCAGTGGAAATCCCAAATTCTGTTTTTAACATCAAAAAACCTCTTTTCGGGGCGAAAAACTAGATCTATGCAATTTGAAAACCCAAATTCTGACTATAAAACATTAAGAGCTCTAGAATTCGAATGCATTTGACCCTTATAATAATTGCTAATACATCCCCTTCACCATCAAATGCACAAATACAATGCAGTGTAAAATTTAACTTCATTTCAGAAGAGACATTTTAACATCTTGTATATTATACTGAATAATCAACATTGAGTGATTAGACTCTTTTTAACTTGATTCAACTCTCTCTATTCCTCAATAATTATCCCCAATCTAACAATCAAACAACCAAATCATCCCTTAAAGGGGAAAATAATTAAACATCGATTCTATTTTATAACCAACAATTCAAAAGAATTTAGCAATCAATAACTTAATAGAACTTAAAGGGCTACTACACTTTATATCTCTAAAAATAAAAATTGTAGTTTCTATATGAATTTATACCAATTTAATCGTATTCTTAGATCAAAATTTCAGCAATATACAGTAGTGAAAACATTGAATCATATCAAGCCCTAAATGCATACGATACTATAATCAATGAAAAATTAAAACAAATTAATAAACTTAGGAGATAAATTTTCATAAATTAAATAAAAAATTAAACAGGGGAATGAACAAAATTGCAGAAGAATCGATGAAATTAAAATATGAAAACAAATTTAGTTCAGAAATTACCTGGGATTCACACCATTCCAGGGAAGAACATCAAAAAATTGAGTTTAGGAGCCCCACTTTGTTAGATTTAACTGAAACTCTACCAACGACTATACAGTACTCCGTTAATTTTTATTTTTTATTATTTAATCTTAGCAATAATACTCGAAACTCTTTTTTTTTCTTCTTTTTTTTTTGGGTTAGGTGTGAAAATGGGCTTCAGGCCAGAACTAACTATACTGGATGTTAGTCCACCTACTGACCTACTCCCTCTTAACACTCCAAATAATGCTTTTTTTGGGCTTGATTCTTTAAAAATCAGTTTAATAAAAAATAAAGTCAAGTCTGTGAAAATAAGTTCAGTTTAATAAAATCGGTAAACGTAAAAAAGAAAAATATGATAGAGTAATTTCCGTTACATTATTTGTATATAACTAGAAAATTCCGTTACATTTATATTTTCGTCGTTTTTTTACTCATATAACATTATAAGGAACATGTAGGAAAAGTGAGATATGGATAAATCAGTTAAATGATCTACCGTTATGTTCAAAATTTAATTCTTTTGAAAACCGTTTTGTTTGGTGTTCATTCTTTAAAAAGCTTGTTATGGTCGTTGTAATTACCTTTAAAAATCCGTTAAATTCGTTACATTCACCTAAGAAGCTAAGATTTGTTATATTTGTCGTATTACACCAATATTTGAATCATTTAGGATTTATTACTAATTTTAAAGAATCCCTCAAGTACACAACTTACATTCCATATAACTAATATCAAACACTAATCGCATTTTTAAACATGAACTTGATTATACGTGGACATACACATTGACCTACCATGCAAAATACAAGCAACGTTTTCCCATTGCTTATTAACTCCTAATAAGCCCTATACAACATTCTCATGACAAGTGTGACTAATGAATATCCATTGGATAGGAACAAGGACATCTGACTCGATTCCCCGCTTCTTCTTGATTTTTTTGTGAATAAACTTTTCTCTGATAAGGTAACATATCTCCTCATTTAGGGATGGTTATCACAATATCACTAATTATGATTATTAACCTCACTAATTATAATTATTAAACTTTCCATCCTCATCCAAACTCTTATTTGGAAATTGCCACATTTTAAGGACTACTTGAGCAAATAAAATTAGATTTTGGACCTCAATCTCGTTAGCATGTAAAATTTAATCGCTATGGCCTAAATATCAATGACAGGTAAGAAAAGATAATTTGCTAATTATAAATACATTCACGTGTACCACCTAACATGAGTATTCCATTAGTTCAAATGTATTGATTTCAAATAGTGTACTCATTTAAAACGGATAAAATGAGTAACGACTTTTATTATCTTTTTTCTAATGAAATGCTTAATACACTGTACTTCTTTATATATACGCTTAGTTGTATGGATTGGTGTATGCAACAAATATGGATCATCATTGTAATATTGAAATCGACACACAATCTTTTACGTACGAAGCCTTTTTATTTATACAAGTACGTATGTGATTATGAGAAGTACTTCATGTTTTTGCATGTATCGAAAATATATAAATATTTAATAATAATTGTTTTGGGGTTTTCTGATGTCCTGCGGGAGAGCTACAATTCCGAGACTGGAACCGGACGCCTGTACCTGCAAAATAACGGAGACTCCTGAGAGCTCCGCCTCCAACGGTCAAGTTAGTACCTGATTAAGGAGTAATTAATACAGAAATTAAAGTAATAAGGTCTCTCTAGGTGAGAGTATTTAATGTAGGTAATCTGCTTTGCTAGCGAGATCAGCCGGTTATTAGTGTGTTCCGTAATGTTTCTCCTCCGTTCCGTTAATTATTCCCCCCCTTGATTAATGAGGATTAATCGAGTATTTATAGCCTTGGGAAGCGTGCAACTCTCTAGGTTTAAGGTAAACCTAGGGCCGATCGGGCTTCTAGACTGAAATGGGCCTTGATGGCCGGTTGTCCCATTTGGCATGGGTGGACACGTGGCGTGTCTTAAGTGGTCCGTGGAGGACGCGTGGCGGAACCTGGTTGGTCCACTTGTCAAACGGCGCTTGGTGGATAAAAATCCCCTAATCAATAATAATAATAATAATAATAATAATAATAATAATAATAATAGATATAAAAAAAAATTAAAAATAAAAAAAGCAAAAGGTAGGGGTACCTAATGCAATTTAAAAGAATTTATGGGCCTAATACCCAAACATAAACTCTCCGACTATATAAACATGTACACCCCTCTCGTATCAATTAACCATATAGCCTTGCTAAACTCCTTACTTTGTCCTGTTTTTACACTCTTTCATCAGCCCCCCCAAAAAATATATGGCTAGGAAACCAGCAAGCTCCTCCTCAAGCGCGACGATGAGAGAGCACAGATTCAGGCCAACAACGATGACAATGTCAACCTTGAGCAGATTGGGAGCACGAGGACATGAACGTATTACTGGCACCGATCCTAATGGGACGGTGTCATTCATCCATGATATGAGCTCCCCTTCATACCGCTGGCTTCTTCCAGGATGGCTTGCAGAAGAGCGAATTCTTGCTAATGGACGTGTCTATAAGGTATATGCATGCTATATAAATATATATCCCTTTCCATTTTACGTCTAAAGTCGATTTCATTTTTTTATTACAATTTTTTATTTAATTTATCTTGAATGTATTGACAAATAACATATCTAGTATGAGTAATTTTAACAAATTTTAGAAGTGATTTTAGTGGTTTATAATTTTTGTGATAAGAAAATAATTCATAAATTTTGAAGCGAAATGAATTTATATTGGGATCGATTTATCTTTAAAAAAAATTGAGATCGATTAAATCATTTGCTTGTTAAGATTGGGGTTTGAGTGAACATGTTTTAAAGGTTTTGGTACGAAATAATGTCAAGATTGTATATATTAATCCAAAAAAAATTATTGAGTTAATGTGTTTTTACATGCAAATAATCTTTATTTTGATTTATTGAATTTATTACATGTATGCACAATTTGTGTGATTAAATTTTAATTGTTTATGAAATTTACATTCTAAACAAAATTTAAATATTTTCATTCAATTTGAGAGAAGATAGACGAGATGATACTTTCAAGTCTCGAAATTTATGTTTGTATAATTGTATGTCAATCAAATATTTGGTAGAAATTAGATCTAGACGTCCAGTGAACGAATTTAAATATATATCTAGAGAACACCAAAAATAAACCATTTAAAAAATTTATTTATTTATTTATATTTAATTTAAAAAATTGATTTTTATTAATTGGTCAAATTTTAACCAGCTAAGTAAAAATTGTATTCCCTCCATTCTAAAATGTTATTCCTGTTTTGACTTTTTATAGTCAAAAAATAATAAAATTTGACAAAAAAATTTTTTATTAATATACATATAAAAAATATATAATCATGTGGGTTAGGCCTTTTGAGAGTATGGGATGGGTTAGGGAATTCCCATCCCAAAATGTCTTTATAGGGTTTGATTCCACAACCTCATTATCAACTTGTAAGATCAAAATTTTCCACTAAACCAAGTCTTTGTTAGATCATGGATTGTTATATTTTGTATACGTGTGGGCGTGACCTTTTTTAGCTAAATATATAAGAGGTTTCTTGTGTTTAAATAATTCAATAGCTTATTAATTTCTATTTAACATCTTTTTTGTTTTTGTTTTTTTTTTCCAAAATGTAGTATTATTATGATCCTAAGGGCAATCAGTATAATACCAAATATGAAGTACTATATCACTGGTCCAAGCAGGGAATGGTTGTTCTTGACGTCTAAAAAGGTAATGCATAATACGTAATAGTGTAGTACTACTACATTTCGTTTATATTAATTTCCACGTATTATACGCAATTCTATGTCTAATTAAGTTGTTTATTTTTTGTATTTTCAGGACTCTTGAGCTGGACAACTATATTGGTCGAAGTCTCGAAGAATAATTATCCATGATAAACTATATCTGTTTTATTTGAACTTCTCTTAATTTAAGAATGTAGTTTGTTTGGATCCCTTGCTAAGACAATTGTTTTACCATAATTTGATGCTTTTAAGTGTTTAACTAGTATTGAATAATTATGGTCTTCTTTGAAAATTAGCAAATTGAATTTGCTTAATACTCCCTCTACGAGTCTATCTCACAAATCCTTACCCAATTTTTTAGTTTTAGTTTGTCTTAATCAGTTTACTTACTTAAAGTAATATTTGGTTGTTAATACATTCGGATTCATGATGCAAGTCATGCAACCATGGTATTTTTTGCTCATTTCAAAAAATAAATAAATAACTAAATAAAAAATAAAATAAAATATCTTGGTGCATCTTGTACCCGGATGTATCTAAAAATCTTCAAAATTATTTTTATCTTATAAAATGGAATAATACTTTTTTCTTGCTTAATTGCTTACCTTGAATTTTTATTTTTTTAAAAAAAAAAAGTTGTTTGATAATTATTTTCCCTCAAAAAGCCACCCCATCACATCCTTCCTAATTCAATTGCCCAAAAAAATGATCAAGAAATTGTCTGATGGAAGCACTTAAATACTTAATGTTTTCTAAAATATTTGAAATAATGCTCACTAGGAATCGAAGAATGTAATATTGTACTCCATATATTTGTCATGTGAAATTGCTACCTACCAAGTATATTGATTTTACAAATTAAAAAAGCAAACATACCCGACATTAATTAATTACTTGATTAGCAAATTTAACTATCAATATGATTAACTTATGGGTCTTTATTTAACCGAATAAGCATAAATTACAAAGAGGTTGATGAGGTTGACCGTACATTCAAACTAGGAGTAATGTTAGTATCACAGATTTCCCTCACTGATCATAGGTCAAGAGTTTGAATTCCTACCACCTCTCCATGCATACATTAGAGGAATTGGGAGAGGAACTTGCATAGTTGCATATACATGTCTTACATGTACTTAATTGACCAAAATTAAAGGCATCCTAGTTTACTCCTTGTGTCTTATGGACTATCGTTCCCTAATCAAAATAGATTTTAATTTATGTATGTATCCACGCCTTTATAGAGTAGTAGTGTAGACATGTAGTACTAGCCTTCTTTTTTGGCGTTTTTGGCTCATATATAACGGTTTATAAAAAATCTAGAAAGGGTGAGATAAACGGATACACGGTTAAATTAATGATCTACTACGTACCGTTATATTTGGTATAAAATCTTTTAATAAGCAACTATATATTCGATATTAATAATCTTTTAGTTTAAAATGTCGTTAAGTTCGTTATACTGTAATTACATACCTAATTAAAATCCGTTATGTTCAGTATAAAATTTGTTATGCTCGTTAATCGTCAATTAACCTGAGAAAATTCTATATCTATTATTTTCGTTGTATAATACCGATATCCGAATAGTTTTTGATGTATTATAAAATTTAAAGAATAACACGTACACCACTTACATATTATATACGTACGTAGTATTTATATACATAAGATCAAACATTAATTAATTGTATATATGAATATTTAGCCTGATTATACATTGACCATTCAAACGACTGAGTAACGTTTTCCCCTTGCTTGCTAGTTAAGTCCTAATAAGCTCTAAAAAACAACATTTTCATGAATCAAGACTAGTGTGACTACCAAACATATGAGATAGTGTGACTAAGTTGTGACTGAGCATTACTCTATCTGCGGATAGGAACAAGGATATCTGACACGATTCCCCCGTTTCTTATTGATTTTTCTTTGATTACTCTTTTCTCTAACAAGGTAAGATATCTCCTCATTTAGGGATTGTTATCACTAATTATGATTATTAAAAGTTGCAGTATTGTCCAATATTTATTTTCAAGATTGCCACATTTTAAGGACTACTTGAGCAAATAATTTCTAAATGTAGATTTTGGACCTCAATGTTATTAGCAAAGTTAAATTGCCGTAGTCTATCTATCAACGACATAGAAGAAAAGATAATTTGTAAATTATATATTCACGTGTACTCCGTACTACTATATACGGTTATACGGAGTATGTAACAAATATACTCCATAGATTGGTAAATTATTTTAATTAGAGCAATATAAAGTATTAAAATTGATACAATCTTACACTAACTACCAGCCTTTTTATTTAATTTATTACACATGCTATGACGAGAAATTGTTTTTGCATACATTAAAAATTTAGGACAGTTTTAAAATGGCTACATAAATTTTGTAGCCACTGTAATTTTTAAATCATGGTCATACATTTATCAATATTAAATCAACATCATTCATTAAATTGACTTGACAATTTTTTTTATTTATTATATTAAAATTAGTTGCTTAATCTCCTTCCTCTCTACACTACTAGATAATCATATTGCTCCATCATACACCGAGATATTTGCCTTTAAAGAATCAATGATCATATATAACAGAAATCAAAACTTGATTCGTCGAATTCTACCATTAATCATCTTCTTTGTACTTTATCTTTTTCATAATTTGTAATCTAATGCTACCGTGTTTAATTATTCCGTATTTGCTGTTTGATTATATAAATACAACACCTTATGTTATTACTAGGTGTATAGAAATTAATTCCCAATCTCCTATGAAAAGTATCGAAATTAATTCCCAATATCTTATGGAAAGAAAAGTTTGTAGAGGGACCTGCGAAAATATGAACTTATAAGAAGTACATCAATGGAGAAACAGTTTTTTTTTTTTTTTTTTTTTTTTTTGAGGGTAAAAGTAGTTTCTAATAAGATTATTTTTTGCTTAAAAAAAAAGGTCAAATAAATGAATGGATAAGATCTTCTCCTTAAAAATAAAGGGTCTAGATTAAAAATTAATATAATGGCCACATTTTCTATGTAGCCATTGAATAGTCATCCCAAAAATTATTTTTTACTTTTTAAAAAACCTCCTAAAGAAAAAGGATACCAAATGAAATATCAACAAATTTTAGGGCATATAGCCAAAACATAAAACTCTTTGACTTTATATACATATAACCCCCTCTCTTAATAAGTGATTTTAACGGTTTATAATCCTTAATTTTTAGTGCGAAAAAAATTTAAATTGAGATTGATTTTAATAAGCTACTAGATGATTGGATCGGAGTAGATCGAGTTTTGAATGTATATGTCTTAATGGATTTTGTATAAAATGTTATTCAATGTATATATGTATATATGAATCTGAAAGATTTTAATTTATTGATTCAATGTTCTGCTTATATATTTTTACATGCAATCATTAATTTTGATTTATAGACTTTATTACATGTAAATTTGTGCTAGTAAATTCATTCTTAACATTTCAAATACACATTCTAAACAAAATTCATTTTCATTTAATTTGTGAGGAGATAGATGAGAAGAAACTTTCAAGTCTCAACTTTATGCTTTTATTTTAATCAATTTTTGGTAGAATTAAATTAGATTAAGAGCGAACCATTTTAATTATATATCCGATATAATACTACTCCGTAAAATAAATAAAACAATTAATAAATTTATACTCCCTTATATTAATTTTAAATTTTGAATTATAATTGTTCTTTCAACCAGCTAAAATATCATTTGAAGTAAAATTATAAAATTTGAGTAATTCTTGATATTAGAGGCGTGTCACGTTTTTCAGTTTGGTATTTCCTTGAAATTTTGAGTCATATACAAGTTTCAAGCTTTCAACCATTGTTTGTTAGGAGTTACGGATATTTGTGCGGCTTTTGGGACTTTGATTAATTAGGGGAGCATATATTAGGAGAAAGCGTTTCTGGTTTGGGTTTGTTCTCTATTGGGGCAGGGCCGGGCAGTTGCATTCATGGGAAACGAGTAATTATCTCTCTAATCCTTTGGGTTAAGGCATCCTTACGTTACTTAGTACTGAAGTTCATTGTTTGTTTCAAGTGCGCTTTTATTATCAGAGTTTGATGTAGAAACCTTATTCAATTGGGATTTAGAGCTTTCTCTCGACTTTTATTTAAAATATAATGGACTTTAATTAATCCGACATTTAAAATATGCATGATTTGAATGATCTTTTTGATTTTCATTCTTTGGAGTTTTGATGTTTGCACAACAACAAAAAGGATATATAATTCCTTTCCTTTTAGAAAAATCAATTACTCTGTATTTGATTGTCATTAGAAGTTTAGATCAAATTTAAAGAGTAAAGCCGGAGAAAAGGATGATTAATATAAAAACCTATTTACGTTGTATTATAGAAGCTAAGTAAAAAGAAAGAGTGTTTTGCACGCTGGTTTTGGGCAAATAATAAAGCCACAAATCTATTGGTCGATGTTGATTATTACTCGTATTAATTGTCTTATATTTTATAATTTCTTTTGAATATTTGCTCCTAAATTTAATCCTAAGGAGATATAGTGAGGATGTAAAAAGCTAATTACTTTTTATTTAACTTGTTTGTTTTTTCATAATGTAGTATTATTATGATTCTGATGGCTGGCAATATTACGCTAAGTGCGGTTTTCTGAAGTGCTTGTACAATAAGGGAATAGTTGTTATAGATCCCTAAAAGGTAATACTTCCATAAGTTCCCTTTTTATATTTAGTAATACTTCGTACTAAATGTTTTTTAAAATTCCATGTATTGTACCCATTGCCAATTTGCCATGTCTAATTAAATTGTTTATTTTTGGTATTTTCAGGAATCAGGCTAAGCAAACTATATTGGTCGAGGTCTTGAAGGATAATAATTGAAAAACTTATTATTATTGAGCCTTAAAATTCTGTAATGAGATGTATTTCAACCGAACATTAATTTGAACTTCTCTTGATCATG